TATGTAAAGTTTAGTGTACCTCTTGTAAAGTTTAGTGTACCTCTATGTAAAGTTTAGTGTACCTCTATGTCAAGTTTAGTGTACCTCAAAGAAACCATAATTTAAAATAATCAAATTTCCTGGGTGGAAGAAAGATATCTAATGATTGATTTTTGAGCAGAAAATGTTTTGAACAGAAAATGTTTTGATCTGAAAATGTTTTGATCAGAAAATGTTTTTATCAGAAAAGGTTCTAATCAGAGAATGTTTTGAGCAGAAAATGTTTTAATCAGAAAATGTTTTGAGCAGAAAATGTTTTGATCAGAAAATGTTTTGATCAGAAAATGTTTTTTTCAGAAAATGTTTTGATCAGAAAATGTTTTTATCAGAAAATGTTTTGATCAGAAAATGTTTTATCAGAAAAGGTTCTAATCAAAGAATGTTTTGAGCAGAAAATGTTTTAATCAGAAAATGTTTTGAGCAGAAAATGTTTTGATCAGAAAATGCAAGGCTGTTTCTATTCTGTTAATTTCATTCCTTCTCTCCATGCCGCACTTATCCGCCAAAGAAAATGATCAGTTTTCAGATAAAAAAAAGAAAAGAATATTTTTTTCCTTTTGATTCAAACGAAGGGTTAAAGGGAAACATTGTTGTTCGGACATCGTACGACACTTTCTAATTAGAGGGTCACTTGAAATCACGTCTACAGTCCCTTTAATCCGGGGCATACGGGGGGGGCGACAACCCTGTGTAACCCCCCTAGGCCCCCCCACACCTTAGTATATAAACTTACATTTATATTCTTCTCTTATCAATTGACAATTTGTCCATTTCATGATGATTTCTCAAATTCTTTCATTAGACCTTAATCTTATTATCGGGGTTTATTTAAACTCCATATCTGAGTTCAAGATGTTTGACCCAGAGTTAAAGAGAGCATTATTCAATTAAATAAATTTCACGGGGTTGCGAAATGGGGGAGCAGGGTTGGATATTTGGAGGAGCAGTGGTCCGGTAGGAACAAATAACTTAAAGGGGGAACAATGTTTAGGAAAAGGGGGTGCACTGCAGGGTTGGGAACATTTTCTCATAGAAACAAAGAACATATGACGCATGATAATATAAATCCATTTTCCAAGAACTTTTCAAATTTATAAATGTTAGCTTTGTATCTTAATTAATAAAATATATTAACCATTTTTTAAAGTTAGAGTATTTATTTTCAAACACAAAATACAAAATAATAATGTATGATGGTTCAGCTTAATATAAAACACAAAAGAAACTTTATTATGAGCCAATTCAAAATATAATGTTTGATAATTTTGGTTGATCGTTTTTGTTGAAACAAAGTATACATTTGTTTGAAACACCGTCCCGCCGTTTGACTGTCCTCTACTCTACCCTATGCATAAACATTTTTTTGAGCAAAATTTGCTCACAACTATGAAGTTCAAAGGTTATTTAGAAAAAACCACTGTAAGGTTTTGGGGGTCGGAAAGCACCCACCCCCCAACTCTAATAGGGGTAAGGAAAGTTTTTTAAACGATTTTTTGCAATTTTTAAATTGCATAGGGTAGAAAAGAAGCCGGTTGGTGTAAACAAATTTAAGATAGCCCATAAACTTTTGTTATTTAAACTACAGATCTAAAAATTACATTTTTGAAAAGCCCTGTGAAAAATGGATTTAAAATACGTGCCTTTATAGGGTTAATATAGAGTTTAAAACTGAACTTTCTTCTTAATACTGGTTTATTAGGGGTGTGAACAACGACCGCTAGTGGGGTGAATAAAAAAAAATCGCGCGCTCACGCACGCCAAAACCTCACCCCCCAAGGCTAAACCTCTAGTACGCCCCTGCCTTTAATATCAATATTTATATTTTTAAATTGTTTAGAAATCTGAAGAACCTGAACCTGAGGAGATGATGGATCTATTTGTAGATATGGCGCCAAAAATTAGAAAACAGAAGAAAATATTTGTTGGAAAAGGTATAAGATCAATTTTGTTCAAGATCATATCTAAGTTTATGTTCAAATAATGTTGTAATCTCTGTTTGTCTGTTTACTTGTTTGTCCAGTCATAACCCAGGAACCCCTTGACCGATTCACTTAAAATGTTGACTGGGGAACTCAGAAAACCCACGAAAATGTTCTTAGTTTGGTTTGAAGATTTCAAGTTGAATGGGTTCACTTAAATTGGGGGAAAAAGCTAAAATCGTAATTTACGACTACATACAGGTAAACGGCGGGTTTCAACTATGAATACCCTGGGCAACGGTGTGTTCTCAAGATTGTTCATAAATATAGAAAATAGTTTGAACGAAAAATATTATTCATAAATATATTTAGAGGAAAAACCCGCTTCTAGTAGATTAGCAATACGCCCAGAGTGTACAGATCCAGTACTAGGTAATACATTTTATCTCGGGGGGGGGGGGGGTATTAAAATAATTTTAAAAATGTATGAAGTTGTGAAACCATTTTTTGGAATGAGGGGAATCGCTTAAGTTTATCCATGATTTTTGATACTAGAAAAAATACATTTTTAGTTAATTTTGCGTTCTAAAGGATGAGACACTCCCCCCCCCCTCAAGGGTTCTAGGATTCTTGAATAGTTTGTTTTTGTTCAGCGTTAGGTAGTGAACTAGAGAGCTGGGGTGAGGGTGGAACTGAAGCAGGATGGAGTGAAGATTCAAGTTTAGATGATCTCCTCAAATTGCAGAAATTGAAAAGATGATTAAAAAAAGAGTAAAATGGATGAATCTGTAGTTGTTGCCAATATGATCACTTGGTTATGTCTTCGACGTTAAACTTTACATTATTTAAACTTTAAAGCCTCAATGTATATGTCCACAGTTATGGCTATTAATGGTTAATGGTGATATCATTTTGAATTTATATTTTAAAACTAGTATCTAAATGATCTTTTAAACACTATTATTTTTTAGTTTGTTTTGGAAGAGATACAAAACCAGGGCGGGTCTTTAATAAATGTTTTCATCACTGAACATCTAAATAATTATTTTATTTTTACAAGTATTTTGAGACACCTTGCATATTCTATCTGTGATATTCCTCTAGGTGTGTTGTGTGATTACAGTATTTTTATTTATTAACTTAATTATTGTTTTTCCCAATTTCTTTTTCATTCAAAAATTTTAAAATATTATTTTTGTAAAATAATGCAATTTTTTCTAGTTTCGAAAATGTTGCACAGGTTTTTTTTTTCAATCTGCTACTACGGTTTGAAAAATAATTTCTTATTAATGTGGTAAGATAATAATATTACCCCTTTTTGATCAGTGTATTGCAGGGGTATAAATTTAATAGATTAACCCCCCCCCCTCCCATTAACCCCGATTTAAAAAAATTCTTTTTGATACTTTTCTAATTTAGCGGAAAAAAACTTAAAATATCTTAACATTCCTTTTACACTTGGAAGGGGGGGGGGTTGATTTTCAAGAAAATATATACCTCTGATGTATGGTGCAGATTATCTGTAATTTGGAGATTGTTAGCTTGCTAAGTCATCTAAAAGTAATTGTTTAAATTGTTGTTGAATGTTTCAGAAGGATGTGAGGGGTCTCTTTAAGAATTAGACAAATACTGTCAACAGGTAACTTTTAATCCAAATACAATGCTCAGAGCTGACAACTTTAGAATGAGATATCCTTAATCCCGATTACTTAATCTGAGGATCCAATGGACACACTTTTGATTTTCTTCTTAAACCGTTCTTTCTTGGATAAAGTAGAGAAAATCATAAACCGTTTTTTAAATTAGATAGCCCCCCCCCCCTCCGTTTCTCTATATTAATGTTAAATGGCGCGCAAAATGACTCTGATTGGTTGAATTTTATACACTTCTCAGGATACAAGTACAAGATTAGGTTAGTCTCGAGATTAAGAAAAACAGAGGATCAAGCATTAATCTCAATATCCACCATTCTAAAGTTTCAGCTCAGAGCTGAAAACTCTTCTTGTATTGTGTATATTATGATTAATACTTGACATAAACCTTTTGTTAATCTGCAGATTAATTTATATTTATTCGATATCCCGCATGTTAATCGCTTCCAGTATGGGTTGAATGGAGCTTTGATCAAGGGAGTAAACAACTAAAATGAAGATATGGAAAAGATCCTCAAATTAAAAGTGTCACAGTGTATATCGAGATCAATAGTTCGGGATTATAACTATCTCAACCAACAAGTTCCCAGCTCAGGTCCCATTTTATTTTGATGCGGATGCGGATCCAACTCAGTTTTCCAAGTTTCCAGATTTCTGATTGCAGAAGTTTTAATATTGCAGACCCGGATCCTGTGCAGTACTTATCAACCATATTTGTTTGTGTGGAATTTAACCTTGCTGGAATCATTTGTTAAGAATAATACCAGATAAATTTTACCAACAAGATTATTTTGTCTAAAATTATACAGACCACAAATTCTTATTCTCATTTCAATCAGATTTTATTTGTTTTAAATTAATGTAACCAATTTATTCTTTTTTCGAAGTGTATTTGACGTTGATTTTTTTGCTTTTTTCAATCAATCATATTTTTGGTCTGAAAATTTGATAAATCTAAGTTAGTTTAAAATCATATTGTCTTTTCATATCTATTCATATCATTGTAATTGGTATTATCAAGTGCTAAGAAGTTTTTGCTGGGATTTTTATTTTTCTAGCTTGTTTAAAATCAAAGTGTAAGTATTTTCACACCGAACGTAGCGAGGTATGAAAATACTTTTATTTTGATCAAAAACAAACTAGAAAAAGTAAAAATAAACCTATTTGCACGCATGATACCCATTACAATAGCATATATATATAAAGTTTAATTCAATGTTACCCCCCCTTATTTTATAGCAGATCGATAAAGTTACTTTTTCAACCTACAACGGAAAAAATTAGGTGTAAAATTTGCAATTTTAGTAGCAGGGTGATAAAGTCATTTTTTCGCCCTACAGCGGGAAATATTAGGTTTTATAAATTCCCTCAAAACTGAATAAATGTTTAAATCTGATATATCTACTTATCTAGGTTGCAAGATGACTGGTATACAGGACAATTCATATACACCTGACTATCTGGACTCACAGGCTGAGGACAGGTAACTTCTTCCATGGATTCATCCAGACAATATGTGCAGGGACTGAATTTTATGAATTTCAGCTAAGTCGGTGAACTACCTACTGCCGGTTCAAATTTGAACCACCGATTCAAAGTTTACGATTCTGGAAGAATTTAAATCGGTGATACAAATTTGAACAGGCGGTAGGCAATTCAACGACCCTGAAAATTCATTAAATTAGGTCCCTTTAGTTGGGTATCATATTGTGGTTATTTTATGGGTTGCAGGGAGGGGTGGTTACCTGATAACACTTGTGTTATTGGGGAGTCTTAATAAATAAATAGATAGGTAGAATATACAATTTGTTTTTTAAAGGAACTGTAAGCGTAATTTCCACAACAGTACCCTGGAAATCTTTATCTGATGATATCGTCTTTTTTCTAGGTGAAAAGTGCTTAGTTCTGATAATTCAGACATATTTACCTGCAGTAGAAATGCGCAATTCAGTTTGTATATAGAGAAACCATAATTAAAAATGATATGTTTTCAAAATTATGAAAATATACCTAATTCATGCCTGATCAGGCATTGCCATCTTTGCATATAGGGTCATTTGAAATTACGCTCACAGTTCCTTTAATATTGTAAAAAGGTTTGTGTGTGTATTGTGCTCATCCAGTATCATTTTTTTTTTTCTCCGTCTAACTTAGAAAAATTCGTAATTCGATACCGGGTAAATCCATGTTTTTCTCTGTTAAAATATTCAGTTTTTTTTTTAGGGCAAATCGAATGGATGCCTTTCTAAAATGCGCGAAATGTAGAAACAAAAAATTTATTTTGATTTTATTATTATTTAAAAAAATATATTATTGTTTAGATATTCTACGGATGCAAATCATGTCTCTGGAGACTTCTTTAAATCAAGGCAAAGAATACTTAAATAATTCAAGGATGAAAGTTCCCAAACATAACAAAATATTTAGAAAAAGAAAAAAGGGAATAAGTGTGTGAGACCTAATTTTTATGAATGACATGGAATTGTAAAAACATCAAGAAATGTAAAAAACCGACAGAAGAGAAGCAGCATAAAACATCACAATGTAGAATTTTTATTTTAGTTCCTTTAAAACAGAAATGAAGGTTCTTGATATAATGTCCTTGGAGTAATCAGAAACCTACCTTCTGTAAATATGATTGATTGATTGGTTGATAAAAGTTGAACAGAGAATAATATTCTTGCGTTGACCAGACGAAGTGGATCAACCCCTTCCTTAACTGGATCCGGAGTCTCCAATCCCTCCACCTATCCTGTATCCTCTACCCCTGTAAACCTACCTCCAGGAACCAACATTAGGTAATTTTTAGATAATTTCACAATCTTCCTCTTTTAACTTTTAGTCTACATCAACAAACTTTAATCTCGAACTAAAAATTTAAAAAGATTTATCACAAATTTACACAAATAGAATCAGATCCGGGCTGAAAACCAACAAAAAGTTTGGGAATTAACCCCCCCCCCCCGTGGAGCATAAAACAATCCCTACATCTCATGATTTGATTTAATTTGCATGCAAACATTACCCTTTCGTTACAGTAAACAATAACAAATTACGATTACATTGATGAAATTCCAACATGTTGGAGGCATGTCTTATTTTCTAGAAAAATCATTTTTCCTTACAAAATAATATATTTGTTACAAGAGTTATTTTGGCTAGTGCGAAATTTGTTTAGTGGTTTTATTCGGTAATTTGCAGAAATAAATGAAACGGTTTTTAGGGGAAAATCAAATAAGTTTTGGGTAAAAAGAATATCAATTTTTTTTCCCCAAATCATTAAAAATCATTCGACCCCCCCCCCCTTGCCCCGAGTTCTCCTCTGACGATAATCAATATTTTTACTAGTCAAAGTAATAGTAGTGGGCGTTCCTCTAGAGGTACCACGCCCCCTGCTCCCTCCTTCAGGAAGGGGAAAGGGGGTCATAGTTCCGGACAAGGGTCAGATAACTCCAGGTGAGAAAGTCTATAAAATTCTTGTTGAATTATGTATTCCCATTGCATGGATAGTTTGAAGTGAAAGGTTCCAAAAATATTCGAAAGTGTAAAATACGTGCCTGGCCCTGAAAGTTTGTAATTTTTACTTGTTTTTTCTTCTAGATCTTCTCATTCTAAGTCACCAAAACAATCTTCGTTAACAGGTACTTCTTTTTATTCGTCATTATTTACATTTCTTTTTAAATAACATTCAGTCGGATTTATTGCATTTACCATTTACATAGTATAGCTAGGGTGTTTGCCGTTTATTCTCTTCAAAAATCGTTAGAGAAAACTATTATATTAAACGACTTATTGACAATGAAAAAAGAAAATATTATCAAAAAAAAAGGTCAATGAAGACAATATTTAAAAACATTACATCTAAAAGACTATATTATTAAGAAAAGATAATATTAAAGATAAAAAGACAATATTAGCAAAGAAAAAGAAATTATCAATGAAGACATTATTTTAAAAAAATTACAACTTAATGACCTATTTATCAATAAAAAGACAATATTATCAACAAAAAGACAACATTATCAATAAAAAGACAACATTATCATTAAAAATACTTTGTAATCAAAAAAGACAGTATTTTTAACAAAAAGCCAATATTATTGATAAAAAGACAACTTTATCAAAAAAGACAATATTATCAACAAAAAGACAATATTATCAACAAAAAGACAATATTATCAATAAAAAGACAATATTATCAACAAAAAAAAATATTTTGCTCGCATTTTAAAAACGCCCTGAATTCCGAACTTTTTATCTCATTACATCCCGCGGCTGCTATGCCATGCAGTAATTTTATAAGTGCCTTCAATGAATATTAATATCAAGAGTTCAAGATAAACAATACTCCACACAAACAATATAAAATCGGTTTACCATACAATGCCATTTGTAATTAAATTTTTACTTAACTTTTTTGCGAATTTTTGCTTAGATGTTCCAATGTTTATAATTGTTAAATGTGTCCAGTAAGCTTTCTAGTGCCGGATATAATCCTTCCGGAAGTAGTTTTACCTCAGCAAACTCTGATAAACTAAGAAGCAAGAAGAAATCGTGGATTAATAATGCTTTAAATCCTACATATACGTAAGTAAAATCTCTTCCTTTTTTACTCTTTGGTAAAGGGATATTTTGTTGAACTGTAACATGTAAGCGAAATTTGAAGTTACCCTTCATGTAAAGATTGCAATGTGAATGCCAGATTCAAAGCGATACTATTGAAACATTTATCTGATCAATAATATGGAATTTATTCTCCTTTTCTAGCTTTATTAGTGGTTATTTCCAATAGCTCCTTCGATTTTTTTAAAATTTATTTAACAAAATTTTTTTAACAAAATTTAAAAAAGAGCAGGGAATTTTTTTCTCCGACTGTTGTATCTTCTTTTTTAACCGATCATACATCTGTTTTCTGTTTCTCTTTTGTAGATCTACGTATTCTAATCCCTTGTAGACAAAGGAGATATGTATTTTGACACATATTTTTGCTTTTGTTTCTCGCTAATATTCCGCAAACCTGCAACTCTCTTTTTGGCAATTTTCTTTTTCATACTTTTCTTTAATTTGATATCTTGGCGCGGATATGGATCGATCCTTTTAATAATAGAATATTTCCAATTTTGATTACAATTCACCATTCACCATTCTGTTTTTTTTCTCAATATTTTTGAAGAACTTGAACTTCTAATTGTGCAATGATGTGGAAAGTTTAAATAGATAACACTTAAAATATGTTTTTTGAGAGGAAATATGCGGATCCACGTAACCGGATCCTAGGGGCAAAATGCTAACCATAACCAGCTAAAAATGATCTCTCGGAGGACACAAATGTAAACTGTAACCTAAAGATCTTTTATTAAATATTTCATAATCTGATGGTTAATTGAGTTTCAGCATAAAAAAGCGAAAGAAGAAAATAAGAATAAGAAATGTTTCATTTTTGGAAGAAACAAAAATCATTAAATCTTGAAGAATTATTCATGACCTGGATCCGGATCCATTTTCTCAGGGCGGATCCAGGATCCGGATCCGGATCCAAATGAAATAAATCCTAAGGTAGATATTATTATTTTCAGGTCACGTTGTGAAGATTTTCGTCGTAATTTCCCAACCCTTCCAGCAGACGAGATGCTGCTAGGAGACTATTCATGTGCACTTCAAAAGGAACACAACATTATTTATCTTCTTTAAAAAAGAATTAGGTTTTTGTCAAGAATTCTTAGTTTTTAATTTTTTGTATCTTTGCAACCCAATGTTGCATACCTTAAATGTTCTAAACTGTGAATTCAGTTAGATCAAATAATCTAAGTTTGAAATATCTAAGGTTTACACCGTCAGGTTGCAATGACATAGGGATTAGAAAATTTTTGTTTGTGGTAAGGACTTATTACATTTATCTATATATGTAAAGTAGTAATCTCTGTTTTTTTGTTTGTATGTCCGATCATAACTCAGGAACTCCATTGCCTGAAGTTTTGGTTGAGGAACTCTGTAGAACCACAAAAATGTTCTTAGCTTGGTTTAAAAGGTCTAAGTTTAATAGAGGTTGACTGTTTTAATTAAAACTTTGTTTTCAAGCAAAGCTAGTAATTATATAATTAGTTTGTTAACAACTTAACAAAAAATTAGAATTATATCTCTCTCTTCCCAATATATTCCTCCAACAAACTTTGTTTTCAAGCAAAGCTGGGTTCCCAGGCTAGTATTTATATAAATTTATAAGTTTGTTAACAAATTCTCTTTTACTAGAATTATATATCTTCCCAAAATATTCCTCTAACAAACTTTGACCTCATTAGGAATACGGACTTAAGAAGATCAAATCTGAAAGCAATGAATTAATAAAAAAAAACTTTGATCTAATGAAGCAAGGAGTTTCCAATAATGATAGGACTTTAGAGAAAACGTTTTTTAAAAATTTAAGTAGACCATATTTATTTTTAACATTAGATTAAAAAAAATTTTCAAAATCGTGATACATTAATTTTCATAAAAATGATAATAAATGTGTGTGTTTGTCAGGACATATTAGTTCATGGTCGAATTTTTGTGACAATAAACTTCCTTTGCTTCTACGCAAATATATTTAAATGGGAGACAGCAGTAACCATCAGATGGAAGGAGGTAAAAATATCACCCCCCCCCTTAAAAGAATTTGAAGAGTTATAAGAAAACTTTATAAAAGATTAAAACATCTGTTTCAAAAGGCACATGAGAATATTTTATGAGATACAATGGTGTTCCAAGCTTTCTATATAAATCTTACATTTGATGGTGGTTTTGGTTTTCTCGCACGCTGATCTGAAAGTCTTCTATTGGGCTTTTTTCAGGTGTCAAGTTCTTCGTGTGTTAGTGTAAATTCTTCCTCCGTGTGTCAGTAAAATTTCGTCTGCGAATGCAAAGAACTATAATCAACTAGTTTTCATTGTGGATATTACAGAGTTGATGTAGAATCGGTTTATTAGATAATATCCTTTAAAGTATATTCTGTGAACACAGCGGACTGCAATTCTTCCTTAATTCTGTAGAATGAATGAATGTAGATCAGGATATACCTGAACTAGTTTAAATTCAGGTCAAGAGCGATCTTATTCTTTTAAAGAATAATTGTTAAAATGTCAGAAGTATTCACCTTCTGGAATTGATCTAGATACAATCCCTCATGAGCAACAGTAATACGTAGTACAGAAACGATACGTACAATCGTCCTCGGATTCTTTCTGCCTGCAATCTGCATAGAAATTATTGTTAATCTAACATTTGTCACAAGTTATATTTAAACAATACCTGGGAGGTTTTCCAGACTAGCTGTGTGCTGTAGATCACCGTGAGATCTCGTTAGATCACCGCGAGATTCCGTTAGATCACCGTGATATCCCGATAGATCACCGTGAGATCGTTGTGAAAGCTGACTGAGGTGTAGATGGGTGAAAATCAGATGAAGGATCAAACTGTAGATAGGAAGCCCTGGTAAAGATATCTCGTATCAGTCCTGTTCCGCATCTAATGATCAATCAGTTGAAATCGCGTTTCAACATCAATTATCTTCAACTGAATACATTTCAATAAGTTCTGTTCTGTTTATTGACCTGCTTGTGTTTGTGAGACAATCCTAGTCTCTTTGGAGCCTCAAGAACTCCGGGTTTTACTGATCAACTCTTGATGATCAACTGGATCAAACAACTGCAATACAGTTCATGAATCTAATGCTTTATATGATCTCCGAACAAAGTTTTGATGACTATTTTGTACTGAGAATGTTATTTGAACAACGGATCACTTCTTGAGATAGGATTAGGGAGTCTTAATGATCTTGATATTTTGAATGAAATCTTGGGATTACATGACAACTCAGTTTTTAAAATACAGATTAAAAAATCCATTTTTATATTTTTTTAATTCGTAGATTTGACAGGATAAAGGGAATATTCTTGGTTATTAAAGGGAGTGACCGGCTATGTAAGGTAGTCGTACTGAGTATGCAGTGTTGTGGAAAACTTCTTTCGGATTCATTTGAGACATATTAACCTTTTTAAAGATTTGTAAATAATTAATAATGAAAAAGAAACTAATTCTGAAAAAGTATCCTCCCCCAAAGTAGGAGTTTTGAACGTCGAATTTGCGCTCAAACTCAGGAATTAAAGATCTTTAAAAAGTTTTATATGTCTCAAATGAATCTGAAAGAAGTTTTCCACAACACTGCATACTCAGATCGACTACCTTACATAGCCGGTCACTCCCTTTAAAAATCCTGCATATATTGTTCTTATACACTTCTTAAATAAGAGATTATGGTTTAAACTAAATTTGTTTTAATACCCCACTGAGTGCGGGGGGGGGGTCAAGATGCATTGTTCAAATCTGTTTGAGTTATCATGTTATGTGTACCCCGGTCTTATTTCTGCAACGGATTTAAATTCTTTGAATAATTGATTATTAATTTCAGGAAGAGCTTGAAGAGAATAAACTTGCGATTAATGAAGGTTCCTTTCTTCCAGACATGGTAGATCTTTTTATCAGGGGTTTGTTATAACACAAGGAGTTCTCCTTTGCAGTCTTGGGAGTATGGAATAGAAGGGAGATATAACTGACGCGGTTCGACCTACCATATGATTATATATGCTTGCAGACGGTACTCTATTTATAGGAAATATTTGTTTGATGTACAATTACCGCGTATACACTAACCTATTCTGAATATTTGTTATACAAATGGAGTACCCGTCTGCAAAGCATGTATAATCATTGGGCATATGGTAGGGCAGGCCGCGTCAGTTGTATCTCCCTTCTATTCCTTTCTCCTTGCTTCTTCTCTTGATGTGCTTGGTCATAGGGGTTTCTTACCGATGCGTACAAACTCGAAGATTTCTTAATTGGTGAACAGTGTACACTTACAATGTACATGCATGCTTATAGGGGCTCCATAAACATAAGTAATAATTGATAGATATAAATATATAAACGCTTTCAGGGTCTGCAAGATACTAATTGGTTCATACTAAATAGTGATGTTTTAATTTACGATGTACTATATACAACGTACATACTCAGAGGGTTTACAGACCACGTTTAAGTCCATATTACACTTGAGGAATAGCACAGTACCAGAGCACATGAACCAGATTTTAAAGTAAAAAAGGGTTAACTTGTGATTGCAATATCTAAATATAGTAATAGTTAATTTCTAATTTCGACAATTAAAATGATAAAAGCATGATTTCTAGAGACCCTCCATGCAAACATCTCAATTCCTACACAATGGTAATCGTGGAACTTATATCCTATTGTCGTTTTCTACGGTTATAAGAGGTTGATTCATTTTCCTACATTGTACTTCAGTATAAATTCGTAAGTCACTTTTGTAGAAAACCCACAAAAAATAATAAGTTTTTAAAATTTAAAATTTGATATTTTAATCATACTTGAGCAGACAAAGCTTATAAGGGTACCGTTGTGAATCGGACATTGTCATCTTTGCATGGTGGGTCACTTGAAATTTCTATTATTAACAATATTTTATTTGCTGGGTTTCTAGGTTGGAAATCTTGTGATGAAAGCAACCTCAAATAAATCCATGGATTCTCTTCCAACAGATTTGTCAGATAATTCAGAGTCAGGGGATAATATGCTTCACAGGTATTTCAAGCCCAGCATGGATTCTGAAACAAAGTTTGTCGGGATGCAACAAGTTTAAGCCAGTGCTTAGGATCCAGATCTGGATTCGCTGGATCAGCAACATTTGGCTTCCTGAATCCGATTCAATAAGCAAGATATCAACTAAAAACTAAAAACTTAAAAAAATGAGAAGAAAAATTTAATGAAATGTGTCCTTCACTGGTATCAGCACTTGTGCCTCAATTATATTGCAATTTAAACTTATCAGAGAACAAATAAATAATAAAGAGAGAATTTTTTGAAACTATGAAATAAAATATCAGTTCGAGTTAAGAAATGTTTTGACACCTCAATTTCTTCAAAAATAGGCAATCAAGACCCTTAAATATTAAACTTTTCAGATTACCTCTAATTTTTATCAAAATTAATGTATTTTTTTCTTGTCTGTTCTAATTATTGTTTTCAAATTTCCTCCCTTGAACTCATTAGCGTTAAAAAATTGTGAGGTAGCTCGGATGGATCCGGACTGTATGCTGCATGTTAATGCGCTGCGCACCGACGGCGGTCTGGGGGATCTATGTCGGGTTCCTTTTCAGATATATCCTTATTATTATTATTAATAAATATTCATACAGTTCTTCTTTTAGAAGAAAACCAGGGGTTCATCGGTCCCTTCCAACTCTAGGATCACAGGGTAGACCAGGCATATTTAGGAAATCAATCAAATCAATTAAATTGATCTGTAGAATTTATTGAATCAGTCAAATCAATCAAATCAGTCAAATCGTCAAGTCAGTCACATCAATCAGTTACATCAATTATTTTAATTATTCCAATTACATTAATGAATTTAATTGAATGTATTCAATAAATTAATTTAATTAAATTAATAAATTAGGTTAATTAGATTAATTGGATTAATTAGATTGGGTCAATTAAAAGAATTCAATTAATTAAATAAATTATCGTCAATTAAATGAATGATATCAATTAAATCAATTATTTTAATTCAATTATTAAATACAATTAAATAAATTAAATCAATTAAATAATTTGAATAAATTAAATGAGCAAATAATTTAATTAACTAAACAAATCATTAAAATCGATAAAAAAAATAATTATTATTTATATTAAATCAAATACTTAAGTGGAAATTAATTTGCACAGTAATTAACTAAACCCCAACATGTATTGCAGGATAATAGTTTTATTTATTGATTTATTGATTTAGTACGGACATCCTAACCTATGAAGTTTGGAGGCAATCTAAGGTATTTATTTTAATATGAGATTGGATATTGTTAATCTTAAACGCATTATCTCAATGTAGATGATCTGTTCACTCTGCTCTTCACAAATTCAAAGTTCTTTTATGATTTTCAGGTAAATCATAAAACCCCATTTTTCTACTCGAAAATACAAATTTCAATATATATTTTTTACTTCCTAACAATTACTAACTAAATTTAAAGAAGACCTACTTACAAATAAATTATTTAAAACAACAGAAATTTAGGTTTGCTGCGGCTAGGGCTAGATATCTTTTTTCTGATCCGTTTTTAACATTTGCTTTAATCAGAAAGATTTATCATTATAATTTTATCAATTGTTTCCTTAAATAGTTTTATTCGGGTCAGAGTAAATACCGTACAACAAAAATAACATTCATTACAAACTTAGATTTCTGTGGAGCCTTCTAAATATCAAAAACGAACCGCAAAATGATTCTCATTCCGAACCGCAGCTCCTTGGCAGTCCTAGTTTTTTATTTTTTCTCTATTAGGCTGAGCGTAACACATTTGATATAGTGCAATGTCCCTGGCAGCAAGCAGAGACATCTGACGAGAAGTTTAGAAAGGTGAGTTTATGTAAATGTCAAATGACATAAATTACCCCGATACCTGGGCTGACTTCAATGACTTCAATGATATTTAATTTATTAAATATTTGGACGAACTAGTTAGTTTAGCTTAATGACTTATTGTTTCACTTACTTATTATGGACAATTTAGACTTACCATTTATTTTACCTGGGTTTAATAATGCACAATTCTGTTAAAAACACTTTTAAAATTATTAGTAAATGATTTGTATTATTTCATATGTAATATGTAGATTTAATGACTTTGAGGAATTGGTTCGAGTTTCACTTTTATGACATCTATTATGACGACATTATATATTGATATGAAATCTGTTTTTAGGTTGAGTTTACTTTAAATCTGAATCATGCAATGGGACCTAAAACCTCCAGAGCTACTGAGGTTCAAACTATGCGGTCAACTTCAGTTCCAGGTACTAAGAAACCATGATTCCTCCTTGTTATTTGCGGCACTTAAGACATTTAAAGAACAAGTTCCATTTTGCATTATGGAAACTGGTTCAAACAATGAGATAGAAATTCCAATAAATAATAAGATAAATTTAATAGTTTTTTTAATCTGGATATACCATGTGAGCTATGGCGGGAGCACCAACCCCTAGACTATGATAATGATAATGAATTATTTGCAGGTCATATATATAGCGTAGATGTAGAGACTACGAATGCTGATGTGCCATATGGAGATACGTTTTTTGTTCTTTCCCACTATTGTCTAGTCAAGGTAGTTTTCTTCTACATTTTGAATAAATTAATTTTGTATATTCTATATTTTACTCGTCTGTATCAGAAAACAAGATATTCATATATATGTTCCCTCTGGCCTACCAAACGGCTGGACCGAATGGGCTGATTTTTTTTTGTGAACACTCATGGGTAGCCTAGGGGGTGACATAGGCTTAACAAAAAATTTGAAATTTTTTCATTTTTTTCAACTTAAAAAAAATCCACGGGCAACGCCGGGCTCTTCAGCTAGTTATACATATATACAGTGATTTACTTTCACTAAGAAAAGTATTTTCTTTAACTCAGAAACTGACCTTGCTTTGACTTTGGTTTAGAATTTGATTATGATGATTGGTTAATTTAGCTTTAACCTTGACTTTGTTTTACTTGCAAATTTTGACTTTAAATCTCTTCTGCTTAATTTGGGACTTCTCCTTGACTTTAAACTAGTTTTTAACATTGAGTCTGTACTTCACTTAAAACTAACGCTTGACTTGAAAGTTGAAACCTATGCTAGACTTGAAACCTATGCTAGACTTGAAACCTATGCTTGACTTGTAACCTAGGCGTGACTTGAAACCTTTGCTTGACTTGAAACCTATGCTTGACTTGCAACCTATGCTTGACTTAAAACCTATGCTTGACTTGAAACCTATGCTCGACTTGAAAACTATGCTTACTTGAAACTTATGCTTGACTTGAAACCTATGCTTGACTTGAAACCTATGCTTGACTTGAAACCTATGCTTGACTTGAAACCTATGCTTGATTTGAAACCTATGCTTGACTTGAATCCTATGCTTGCTTGAAACATATGCTTGACTTGAAACCTATGCTCGACTTGAAAACTATGCTTGTCTTGATACCTATGCTTAACTTGATACCTATGCTTGACTTGAAACCTATGCTCGACGTGTAAACTGCTTAACTTTAAACCTATGCTTGACTTTAAACCTATGCTCGACTTGATACCTATGCTTGACTTGATACCTATGCTTGACTTGATACCTATGCTTTAGTTGAAACCAATGCTCGACTTGAAAACAATGCTCGACTTGAAAACTATGCTCGACTTGAATCCTATGCTTGACTTGAAAGCAATGCTCGACTTGAAAACTATGCTTGACTTGAAACCTATGCTCGACTTGAAAACTATGCCTGACTTGAAACCTATGCTCGACTTAAAAACTATGCTTGGCTTGAAACCTATGCTTGACTTGAAACCAACGCTCGACTTGAAAACTATGCTCGACTTGAATCCTATGCTCGACTTGAAAACTATGCTTGACTTGATACCTATGCTTTACTTGAAAACTATGCTTAACTTGAAACCTATGCTTGATTAAAAACTTTGCCTTAACTTATAACTTGTATAATCTTAAAATCTGCATTTGACTGAAAACTTTTATCTCATTGTTTGCAGATAACAGATGAAGAATCACGTTTAACTGTTCTATGTGATATCAAATATAGAAAGAGTCCCTGGGCCCTGGTCAAAACATTTATTGAAAAGGTAAAAATAATTATCAGAAATTTTTTTTTTCTTATAAAAATTTTTGTTTTAGAATGTTTGGGCAGGAATTGATGACCATTATGTGGCTCTTTCGTCAGCTCTGGACAGGTATCTACTGGTTTATCCTTCCAACTTAAAAAAAAATACAAAAATGTCAAGTTTTAAGTAGTGTATAAAGGTTACGAAAACTAAATTCTGTTTCAAGGGAAGATGAAAGCAAGGAAACGTCTTTTGTTTCAGGGTTGTTTCAAGGAAATATGAAAGAACGGAAATATCTTCTGTTTAGGAATATTGTTTCAAGGAAATATGAAAGAACGGAAATATCTTCTGTTTAGGGACATTGTTTCAAGGAAATATGAAAGAAAGGAAATCTCTTCTGTTTAGGAGTATTGTTTCAAGTAAATATGAAAAAAGGAAATATCATCAGTTTAGGGAGATTGTTTCTAGAAAAGATGAAAAAAAGGAAATTTCTTTTATTTAGGGAAATTGTTTCAAGGAAACATGAAAGAAACAAAATATCTTTTGTTTAGGGAGATTGTTTCAAGAAAAGATGAAAAAAAGGAAGAGGATGGATTAGCAGGCAAAAAGAAAATAAGAAGGCAGAGGAAAAGAAAAGTTTCAACTAGTGATACAGGTATTTGTCTTCTTTGTTTTTTAAAGCTCAAGCTCAATTTTTTTACTTAGACGCATCCTAGAATGATGAATAGTTTAAGTTAAAACTTTCTGAAAATCATTTTGTATTTTTAAGTATTTTTTGTAAAAATTAATTTCTGTTTTTCTTACGGCAAGGTTATTATTTTTTACATATGTAAAAGTTAATGTTTTTCCCATAAGTAAAATTTGATAGAAGGGACTTAGTAATTTCATGTGACCAATCATTTAAAACGAGGCAAGTCATATTTTCAGCGCTACCCTATAAACCTAATGTTTAAGATATCTTTTTTGTTTTAGCCATTTAAGTGTCAACTTCTGTCGATATCCTCCAATGTGTCTGTAGCAGAAATCCACAAGTCTTTTCATGACTTATTTAAGGGTATCTTTATGAATTTGGCATGCCACTGTAATGATCTAAGGTTACTTTAAACTCCGCATACAGTCCCTTTATTCGTATTTAAAAAATAAAACTACTTATTGTGAAGGTCCAGTACCTGTACTGAGTACAAATGCAAGAATACCAAAGTATAACGTATCACCAAAAGAAAAAGGTAAAAAGTTATGTTTTTCTTATTAAATTTTCAAAAAAAATATTTTACAAGTTTCATATTTCTTGCATTTAAGTTACAAAGTTTATGTTCCAAGAGCGTACTCAAGGTTATAATGCAAGGAAAGTTAATTGCATTGTGTATACTCTGCGTACATTTTGAAACCAGTTCTCTCTGGGCGGAATTTGTAAACAAGAATAGATGCATCAGTGTTCATTTAGTATCCGAGGAGGGTAAAAGCATTAAATTTGATAATTTTGATAATTCACATAATAGTTTCATTGATTTCTTTATGTGAAAGATGGATCCCATGTCAGGCTGTGACATCCCTCTGTGTTCATAATTTATAAAGCTTTTCCTGTTCATGTCATTTTCTAGGAATCAATCAAGTAAATTAGCTATTTTGCTTATATTTGCAGAGGTCATTGTGAACATACATAGGTTACACGGAGACGAAAAAAATACATTTACTTGATAACATTTTTTTTAAAAGAAATAACAGTGGATTCAGGAAAATCAAGATTTTTCAAAATAGATTCTAACGACCGTCAATCAAAGATTCTGGGGCGTTGCAAGCCCGCCAGAATATTTGTTATATATATTTGTTCGTGTATAAAATGCCTATTTTAAGATTATTCACGCAAATGACCCGTTTTCCCTCGAATTTTAGAACTTCAGCGTGTGCACTTTTCTTCTTAATTTATTTTTCAGCGTCGAAACTATAGAAGTGCATAACTATTTTTAACCAATGTATTGTTTATATACGTCACCCATACACAGAAATAATCAAGTCTTTAATTTTAGAATTTATTTCTTGATCATCATAAGCCGTAAAGCTGAAAATATAAACATTATTAGCATGATATATTTGTAAAATGTGATGAATGGTAAAATGTTGTGACCAGATAAAGTTATTTAACAGAATACATTAAAATTCGATATTTTAAAATGTGATCTCTGGTGAAATGTTACGACCAGATAAAAGAATTTGAAGAGTTATAAGAAAACTTTATAAATGATTAAAACATCTGTTTCAAAAGGCACATGAGAATATTTTATGAGATACAATGGTGTCCCAAGCTTTCTATATAAATCTTACATTTGATGGTGGTTTTGGTTTTCTCGCACGCTGATCCGAAAGTCTTCTATTGGGCTTTTATCAGGTTTCAATTTCGTCTGCGAATGTAAAGAACTATAATCAACTAGTTTTCATTTTGGATATTACAGAGTTGATGTAGAATAGGTTTATTAGATAAAGTGTATTCTGTGAACACAGCGGACTGCAATTCTTCCTTGATTCTGTCGAATGAATGCATGTAGATCAGGATATTCCTGAACTAGTTTAAAGTCAGGTCAGAAGCGATCTTATTCTTTTAAAGAATAATTATTAAAATGTCAGAAGTATTCACCTTCTGGGATTGATCTAGATACAATCCCTCAAAAGCAACAGTAATACATAGTACAGAAACGATACGTACAGTCGTCCTCAGATTCTTTCTGCCTGCAATCTGCATAGGAATTATTGTTAATCTAACATTTGTCACAAGTTATATTTAAACAATACTTGGGAGGTTTTCCAGACTAGCTGTGTGCAGTAGATCACCGTGAGATCTCGTTAGATCACCGTGAGATTCCGTTAGATCACCGTAAGATTCCGTTAGATCACCGTGAGATCCCGTTAGATCACCGTGAGATCGTTGTGAAAGCTGACTGAGGTGTAGATGGGTGAATGTAGGATCAAACTGTAGATAGGAAGTCCTGGTAAAGATATCTCGTATCAGTCATGTTCCGCATCTATTGATCAATCAGTTGAAATCACGTTTCAACATCAATTATCTTCAACTGAATACATTTCAATAAGTTCTGTTTATTGACCTGCTTGTGTTTGTGAGACAATCCTAGTATATACTGCTATACCTTGATCTACTGAGCCTGCTCCTGTACTACCCGTAGAGTTGCCTCTGTCCCATCCTTTCGTAATTGTCCTCTTCGTACCATTTTTATTGCTCTGCCTTCATTTTATCATCCCTGCCTCCTGGGTCTGAAATATTATATATTTACTTTACATGTAAAACACCATTTATTTATTCAGGATTAAAATTGACTTTTAGGTCAACATAGATACTTAGGATTAAAATTGAAACATAAACTCATTATCCAAGTTATACACATATCTCCATCCCCTCATGTATAGATATACTAGTACTTTCCTCCCCTATGTCTAGGTCCACCTCTTCCCCTGTTCTGATTCCTTCCTTCTTCCACTCCCCCGAAAAAATGAAGAAAGGCCTTTGGGTAATTCCTCACCAGTGCCGCTCTAACATCTGGGTCACTTGTTTCATGCATATCTTTCCTGTGTCCTTTCTCATTACATCTGTGGCAAGAACGCTCCTTCCAGAAACATGTTTCTTCCTTATGATTAAATTCTCCGCATCTGAAGCATGCCTCTTTATCTTCGCAGCTTCCTAGATCATGATCATTAGACTGGCAAAATGAGCAGTAGGTCTTGTATGGTATACTGTTATATGAAGGACCATCCCTTCTCTCCTTCACTTTATCCCATTTATCAATTTTAGATGACAGTTCAGCCAACAATCTATTGGTCTGGTTTTGTAGCTTAACCAGTTCTTTAACATTTTGTTCAGTCACATCAGAACGCCGATTGTTCTGTTGGATTTGATTGATCATATACCCGACTCACATCTTCCCTCACGTTGTGTTCTGACTCTTGAACTATTCTTAGTGTGTTACGCTCGCATCCTGTAGTAACACCATTCACGATATCTGCCACCTTATCTTCGGAGATCAGCTCTACATGATCAGCTGAGTATCTCCCTTTTTTGGGTGCAGGGGACCCTCCCTCCTGGTCCAAGAGAGTGTCTTCTCCCTGCTCACCATCCTCAAGTGTCTCAGACTCATCCTCATTCTCTTTATTATTCCGGGCCCTCCTCGGTGAGGATTCAAAGATTCCTGCATGCATCTCCAATCTTTGAGATTCCCCTATATCATCCATCTCCTGTTCAATTGAACTGTTCTGACTCCTTGTGCTCGGACCCGCACCCCAATCCACCCTTGACCGGGTTTTTTCCTGTAGCTGCTTGATCTTCTCATTTCTGGACATCCTGGGGGAGTTTTTAGGGGGCTCCATCCCTTTCGCACCCTCTCGCAACCTTAAGACTGAGTTTTTCAGCTCTTGTCCCAGAGTATCTTCTCTAACCAGCTGTTTATCAATTAAATCCATGATGACTTCCGCCATATCTATAGCCTTCTCTGGCTGCTCAAGTGAAGGGATCTCAGCCTTGTAATTTACAATTGCTGTTTCCAGGAAAGCTTTAATATCCGGACTCATCTCCGCTCCTGGAGCTTTATCAGCAGTCATATTTAGCAAATTATTTGAGGCTATAGTGTTCAACAGCTGGTAAGACTTACTGGAATTGGTCATCCAATAAAATCCTTTCAGTTTCTTGTCCTTCTTGATGGTGACGTAGTAAGCCGGTGCATTGCCGACCATTTTATCTGTAAAATTTATTTATTACACACTATCTCAAGCATATTTTTCTTCCCCGCATGACGTACTCTTCCTCTTGCCGGTTGACAGTCCACATCCCTGAAAAAGGATATTGTTAATCTCCCCTGTTGGTTCACTTAATTTTTCCAAAAGCTTCAATGGTTCCCAGCTAGGCTAGTGTTCCATAAGCAAATTCATTTCAAGGCTTCAATGGTACCCAGCTAGGTTTGAGTTCCATAAGCCAATCATCTCAAAAGCTTCAAAGGTTTCCCAGCTAGCCTAGATTTTCATAAGCCGGCTACTCTCATAGGCTTCAATGGTTCCCAGTTAGGCTAAAGTTCCATACCCGGCTAATCTTAAAAGCTTCTATGGTACCCAGCTAGGCTAGAGTTCCATAAGGAGGCTAATCTCAATTGCTTCAATGGTTCCCAGCTAGGCTAGAGTTCCATAAGCAGGCTACTCTCAAAAGCTTCAATGGTTCCCAGCTAGGCTAGAGTTCCATAAGCAGGCTAATCTCAAAAGCTTCAATGGTTCCCAGCTAGGCTAGAGTTCCATAAGCAGGCTAATCTCAAAAGCTTCAATGNAGGCTATAGTTCCATAGGCAAAAACATCTCATAGGCTTCAATGGTTCCCAGCCAGGCTAGAGTTCCATAAGCAGAATAACTCTCAAGGGCTTCAATGGTTCCCAGCTAGGCTAGAGTTCCATAAGCAGGCTAATCTCAAAAGCTTCAATGGTTCCCAGCTAGGCTAGAGTTCCATAAGCAGGCTAATCTCAAAAGCTTCAATGGTTCCCAGCTAGGCTAGAATTCCATAACCAGGCTTATCTCAAAAGCTTCAATGGTTCCCCGCTAGGCTAGAGTTCCATAAGCGGACTAATCTCAAGGCTTCAATGGTTCCTAGCTAGGCTAGAGTTCCATAAGCAGAATCACCTCAAAAGCTTCAATTGTTCCCAGCTAGGCTAGATATTCATAAGCAGTCTAATCTCAAAAGCTTCAATGGTCCCAGCAATGCTAGATTCCATAAGCAGGCTAATCTCCAAAGTTTTATTGGTTCCCAGCTAGGCTAGAGTTCCATAAGCAGGCTAATCTCAAAAGCTTCAATGGTTCCCATCTAGACTAGAGTTCCATAAGCAACAACATCTTATAGGCTTCAAGGGTTCCCAGCTAGGCTATAGTTCCATAAGCAGAATAAAATCTCAAGGCTTCAATGGTTCCCATCTAGACTAGAGTTCCATAAGCAACAACATCTTATAGGCTTCAAGGGTTCCCAGCTAGGCTATAGTTTCATAAGCAGAATAAAATCTCAAGGGCTTCAATGGTTTCCAGCTAGGCTAGAGTTCCATAAGCAGGCTAATCTCAAAAGCTTCAATGGTTCTCAGCTAGGCTAGAGTTCCATACGCAAAATCATCTCAAGGCTTCGTTGGTTCCCAGCTAGGCTAGAATTCCATAAGCAGGCTAATCTCAATGGCTTCAATGGATCCAAGCTAGGCTAGAGTTCCATACGCAAAATCATCTCAAGGCTTCAATGGTTCCCAGCTAGGGGCACCTAAACCGGAAAATTTGGGTCTGTTTTAACTTTCTTTAATGAAGAACATAATTTTTCTAATCGGAATAAGATATCAAATCTAGTATATAAGGACTTCTTTTTAATAAATCTTTTGTTTTAGGTCTGAAGCAGGTATTTGGTTATGAGGAAACTGCTGAAACCAAGCTGACTTGCTTATTTACTCATTTAGTTTGCAGTATGTTTTATTAGTGTCAATTAAATCTCTACCATTCAATATAGTTCTCACCTTGGTTTATGTGATTCTGCTTACTCCTGTACTGCCTGTACTCCAGCGCTCCGTATTTTATCCGGCTCTAGGTACTTCAGTTCTGCCTGTATTTCAGCTCCAGTTAGTTCAAGACTCCAAGTCTAGTTTAGCCAACCCTGGGAACTCAAGTGCTGCCTTTACTCCAGCTATAGTTTGTTCATGGCTGCATCACTCCTTAATAATACTACATTTAGTTTACATTATGCTTATTTACTCATTTAGTTTGCGGTATGTTTTATTAGTGTCAATTAAATCTCTACCATTCAATATAGTTCTCACCTTGGTTTATCTGATTCTGATTACTCCTGTACTGCCTGTACTCCAGCGCTCCGTATTTTATCCGGCTCTAGGTGCTTCAGTTCTGCCTGTGTTTCAGCTCTAGTTAGTTCAAGACTCCAGCACACCTTAGTTAACCCAACCCTGAGAACTCAAGTGCTGCCTTTACTCCAGCTATAGTTTGTTCATGGCTGCATCACTCCTTAATAATACTACATTTAGTTTACTGCTTATTTACTCATTTAGTTTGCAGTATGTTTTATTAGTGTCAATTAAATCTCTACCATTCAATATAGTTCTCACCTTGGTTTGTCTGATTCTGTTTACTCCTGTACTGTCTGTACTCCAGCGCTCCGTATTTTATCCGGCTCTAGGTACTTCAGTTCTGCCTGTATTTCAGCTCTAGTTAGTTCAATACTCCAGCACACCTTAGATTATCCTACCCTGAGAACTCCTGTGCTGCCTTTACTCCAGCTATAGTTTGTTCAAGGCTGCATCACTCCTTAACAATACTTAACCGGCTCTAAGTATCCTGCTCTGCCTGTACTTTAGCTCTAATTAGTACATGACTCCAGCACACCTTTGTGTACCCGACCGTGAGCACTCATGTACTGCCTTTACTCCAGCTCTAGTTAGTTCATGGCTCCAACACTCCTTAACAATATTACATTCAGTTTTCATTAAGAGTTTAGTTATTACTATGTTTTATTAGTGTCAATTAAATCTCTACCAATCAATACAGTACTCACGTTAGTTTTTTGGACTCTGAGTACTCCTGAGCTGCCTGTACTTCAGCTCTAGTTATCTCATGTCTCCAGCCCTCCGCAGTTTATCAGACTCTGGGTACTCCTGTACTGCCTGTACCTCAGCTCTACTTAATTCTTCACTCCAGCACTCCTTGGTTTACCCGACTCTGAGTACCCCTGTACTGCCTGTACTTCAGCTCTAGTTAGTTCATGACTCCAGCACTCCTTAACCATACTATAGTTAGTTTTTCTTCTGCTTAAATTGCGTGAACTAGTTCTCTAACATTCACCAAGGTACTCACCGTTAGTTACTCCGACTCTGAGTAATGAGTTCACGTTAGTTCATGAATCCAACCCTTCTAACTGATATTACATTTAGCTTGCATAAGCTTACTCCACGTCTATTACTTTTCTACATTCAATTAAGTATTCACCTTAATTTATCCGTTTCTGAGTGCCCCTGTCCTGTCTGTACTCCAGCTCCAGTTAATTCATCACTCCAGCCCTCCTTAACAGTATTATATTTAGTTAATATTAGTTTTAGTTTACATAAAGCTTTATTAGTGTCAGTTACTTCTCTACCATTCAATTTCAGTATTAACCTTATTTTATCCAACTCTGAGTACTCATGTACCGTGTGTACTTCAGCTCTTGTTAGCTCATGACTCCAACACTCCTTAATTACAGTACATCTAGATTAGATTACACTTAATTAGTGTCCGTTTATTCTCTACCCTTCAAAACAGTATGCACCTAAATTTTTCTGCCTCAGAGTACTCCTGTACTGTCTGTACTTCAGCTATAATTAATCCATGACTCCACACTCCTTAAGGGTATTATGTTTAGTTTACACTACACTTTATTATACTCCATTTCACTACCATTCACTATAAAACTGGATTTTGCGATAAAAAATTCAATTTTCGCAAATTTGCAAATTTTTTTGCAGATTCTAAAAGTAGAGCACAAGAGCTTTCTAATGATGTATCATTTGTCATATTTGAACATAAAACATGGGATTTAGAGGGGGGGGTCAAATTGACCCCCCCCCAGCGTATCCTGGTTTTCAAGTACNGGGGGGGGGGGGGGGGGGGAGCGATCATTGATCCCTATATCTTTAAAAATTTGTTGCTTATTATTTGTTTCAGTGTTATTATTTAGTAGAGACTATTTAAGACTACACTGTGTAAGATTAAAAGTAAAAAAAAGTCCAAATTATCTAGAAGTTGAAACTGGATCTTCCTTGAACTTAGTTCTGATGTTGATGCTCTCCCTGCTGTGCTTCCTTAACATCTACCTCCTCTACAGGATCTGGGGACTAGAGTCAACCATAACTTTAAAGGTGTTAACACTCGCTTTCATTCATATGTATAACTAGATAAAGTTCCCACTGCCAAGCGTTGCCCAAGTAAAAAAATTTAAATTAAAAAAAATTTAGAGAATTAAAATTTTTGATCTTTTGTTTGTTTATTTACCAATGGGTTTCCGAAAAAGAAATTTCGCCGATTCGGTCCAGCCGTTTGGCCAGCTATAGCTAACATATAAATATATACATATAAGAGCGGAAGAGCTTTATTATAAAGAAGATGTAGCTATAGCACCCTCAGTTTGTAATTGTATTCATTAAATAAACTTTTTAAACCCGACTATGGATATTATAAACATAGTCTAAGGGATTTTTCAAAACTTAAAACAACGCCCGATTTACGAGGGGGTACTTGTGAAACCTTTTTTAAAAATTGGAAAATACGGTCGTTTTTCTAGGTTCAGAAGTATCATTCTTAAAATTATTTGATGTTTTCCTGTATGAACCACAGTTGAAAATTATCAGTTTTTAAAATTTTATTGAAATCTAAAACATAATTAATCAGACAAAGCTTTTAAGGTACCCTTTTTGTTAAATTTCAACTTTCAACTTAAAAGTTCAAGAAGTTGTCAAATTGTATTATGAACATCTGGGGAGATTGGTTTCTTTAATCGCAATTCAAATCATGTATATTAAAAAGAAATAAGTTCCTTCATAATATTTAATTGCCCAAAATTAATCCATTAACTTTGTTTTAATTCCTCAGAGGCGATTCCTGTTTAATATTATTTCATTTAATTTCATTTGGTTTGGTTTCATTTAATTTGGTTTTGTTTGGTTTCATTCTATATATAAATTTGGCTTGTCTGTTTGTCTGTTTGTCTTTTTGTTTGTATCCAATAAACGTCAAAACGGCTGAACCGATCGGGCCCAAATTTTTTGTGGGACATCTAGGGACCCCAGGGAAGGTTTATGAATGATCAAAATTTCAAATATTTGTCTCCATTGAAATTCGATCTTCATTAAATTTTTTAAATTTTGAAAATCCACGAAAGAGAACATGTTCACAATTAATTTAGAAGATGGGCGCGAAGCGCCCTATAAGGCTAGTTTGATAAAAAGCTTAACTTTAAGTTTCGCGTAATTTTTTTTGATTTAACAAAGACTTAATTTAGATGAGTATGCTTGAGGACTACACGGTTCTTGACACACAAGGACCAAGGACCAGTCAGGACTGGTTAAACCTGTTACAAAGACAAGAGGCAATGCATAATGAGGTAAGCTAGCTGAATTGCCCGGCGTTGTCCGTGGAATTTTAGAAATACGAAAAAAAATACCGAATTTAAATTAAAATAAAATACTAATTTTAAAAAATCAAATTTTTTTAAGCCTGTGTTCCCCTTAAATCTTTTTGAATGACTCGTGGCTTAATTTCATGCTACCAGTATTTATAGAAACCAGGCTTTTATGGCGCTTCGCGCCCCTTTTCTAATTCAACTTTAATTAAATTGTGGCTCTATCTATTCTGTGCGCATATAAAAAAAGATAAAATAAAGAAACAAAAAAGGTCGCGGATTTCATTTTATAGTTTTGTGATTTTCAAAATTTTGCGAAACTAATTTATTTTTAAGGAGGCAAATTTTTGTAATTCTGAGCGTCCATAATTCATCCCTGGGGTCATGTGACGTCTAACAAAAAATTTGGGTTCGATCGGTTTATGAGATTTGATGTTTATTGGATACAAACAAACAATCAGTACAAGCAAAGTATATACATTACAACTAGTCTTTTAGAGCGCTTCGCGTTCATCTGCTATTTCAATTGTGAACATTTTCTACATTGTAAAACAACAACAATAGAAATGCTCGCGGATTTTAAAAAAATAATTTCGTGGATTTTCTTGATTTAATGACATTCGAATTTTGTTGGAGGCTAAAATCATAAAAATGTTCAGACGTTTTGACTTTTATTGGACACAAATAACCCAACAAATAGACAAGCAAAGTATACATATATATAGATGAGTTGCATGCCTAATTCACATCTGCACTGCTTGAAACCTTAGGCTGAATTTAAATGATTTCTGTTGATTGATGATCTTCAGTTGTAGTTTATTTTTTATCTGACTTGCGGATTTATGCAACAACAATGAAGAAAACAGACAAAATTTGATTCACTTTCTAGATTTTAAAGCGTCTAGCGATGTTACTGAGATAAAGTGCGTTAAAGTGCACTGTTGGGAATCTTAAATTCTTGAATTGAAATTACGTTAACAGTCCCTTTAATTTTATACAGGATCTGAGTACTTTAACAGTCCCTTTAATTTTATACAGGATCTGAGAAACTGGCAGAAAGCAGTAAACACAGCGTCTGGACTCCTCCAACAAACAGAAAACGTCATGTCATCTTTCAGCAAGGTACATACAATCAACCTTCTCACTGTACAGTGTACTTTAAGATGCATTTTTTTGTAGATTTTATAAACTAAGATAATATTTCATATTTTTTTCTTTCACTGATGCTCAACCCTTGACTACGGAATAATTGTTTGCTTGTTTGTGGCAGGAATGAGGGCTTAGCTACAATTTGTGGCAGATTGTATGTTTCTGAATGTTGTTAAAGAAACTATAAGTGTAACTTCAAGTGACCCTTCATGCAAAGAAAGCAATCCCCGATTTACAACGGTACCCTTGAAATCTTATTCTGATCAGTGGAAGAACCCATCTTTTTTTTACCTCTTTTTTTCTGTGAATTCCCATTGCTTTTTATAAGCATGAGACTTTTGCAGAGAAACATCGAGTTCTAATTCGTACTTGATAAGACAAAGCTTTTAAAGGGAGTGACCGGCTATGTAAGGTATTTAAACTGAGTATGCAGTGTTGTGGACAAAGTTTTTAGGATTCATTTGAGACATATAAAACTTTTTAAAGATCTGTAAATCCTGAGTTTGAGTGCAAAGTCGATATACTCAGTTTAACTACTTTACATAGCCGGTCTGTCCCTTTAAGGGTACCGTTGTAAAACAAGCGTTACCATCTTTGCAGAGTCACTTGAAGTTACGCTTACAGTCACTATAAGTAGCATTTTTTGGTTTACTGGATGTGTAATTTTCACCCAGATTGATTCTACTTATTAAATCAGATTTATTAATATACCAGCTGAAGGGCCCGACGTTGCCCATGGTAAAACAAATTTTGAAAAAAAAGAAAAAAATTAAGAAAAAACATTTCGATTTTTTAGCATGTAACACCCCCGGCCACCCTTGAGTTTTGCACAAAAAATTCAGCCTAATCGGTTCAGCCGTTTAGCCGGCTATACGCAACATATAAACAAATGTCTTGTTTTATTATATTGAATAAATAGTCCATAAAAATGTTCCTACAGATTCCCTTCTTTAATAACTACTACAGGGCATTGTTTTCAGGCCCTGTTTCTAAACATTTAAAGTTTTTATGGCCTTTTAAAGGATTCACAAAATGTTTACTCTAATCAAAGATATTGACCAAAACGAACGGAAAACGATTTGAGTAGTCGTTTTGAAATCGTTTTGATTAATATCTTGAATAAGAGTAAAAAAGTTTGGTGATAATAAAACAACAAAAGCAAACTTATCTATCCTGCAATTCTGAAATAGGATTTGCATCTCAGGTTCTGGTGAAGGCTTTAATAAGCCTAAAAACCTGGTTTAAAAACGGACCTTAAAAACGACTGAAAATGGACCTTAAAACGACGCCCTGTAGTAAATACAAAGCGAGTTGAGGAGGGAGTTGTAATCATCAATAAATATCTTAATATTCATAGAATTTGGATGTGAAATCGACTAGAAATGTAGTAAAACACATTCTCAAAGAACAGGTAAGATTATCATCTTATCATAAGAATTAATTTTTGTAACAGAAACAATAATCAGTATTCATTTCGTTTCTTTAACACTTTTTAATGAATTGCGAATGATGGCTGACATTTTTTTTGTCAAAAAAAATAAAATAAATAATTTAACCCAAGAACAATTATGTAAATCATTGAAGAATATCCCAAGCAATTCCTGTAAAGTATGATTTGACTTGATTTGAAAGACGACTGATAATTATTAGATGATATTAGTTTGTGGATTTTTTAATATAAAGAAGCTTTGAGCCAAGTAGTTGAAATATGATATATCTAATCAATGCATGGCTCGTATATAAAATAGTCATCTCTGTTTGTCTATTTATTTGGATGTCCAATCATAACTTGTAAACTCCTTGACCGATTTGCCTCAAATTTTGGTAAATGGGAACTTGGTAGAACCACGGGAATGTGCTTATCTTTGTTTAAAAAGATTACTTTGTTAAATTCTATAAGGAAAGCTCCAGGCAAAGTTGGGTTCCTAAGTTAGTCTGCACATAATTATAATTACATATAAATAATAATTTTAATGTCTCTTGGTGCCTAATGATACTTAAAATATCTGAATTCAAGTTCCTATTGCATTAAATGAAATAAAGTCAGACTTTTAGGGACGTCTACTTCCATACTTCAAATTCAATACTAGATTGCAACGGAAGCCTGGTCTTATGATTTGTAACGACTCAACTATTTATGATTTGTCGAATTATCCAGGATTATCTTGGGAGATCACGTCATCAACAGAACCATCTGAAAATACTTCATCAGCAACCTCCAATTCTTCAGGATCAACAACCCGGGAATTTTTATGGTGAGGAATCACAAATACACATTGATCAGGAGCTTGAAACTAATTCCAATGAAGTACTTGAAGATACTGAATGGTTGGACGAATTAGAGCTTAACGTGGAGGAAGAAATTGATGCTTCTAAAGAGCTTAATTTGACTGAAGAACTAGAAGCTGCTGAAGATCTTGAAGCTGGCCCAAGTTTGCTTGATAAAACTGAAGTTTAGAGTCACAAACCCTCCTATATGTTTCTGAGAAAAGAGGAATCTCAACAAATTTTAAATCTTAAAACAACAATTAGATAATTCTAGAAAATGATCATACTATTTTAATTAGGATAATTGAACTTTTATTATACACATAGTTGTAGATATATGATATCTATTTATGTACACTAAATATTTATAGAGTTTTATAGACACAGAAATTAAGTTATATGTAATCATGATTGGTGTGGACCATTATTAATGTTTTACCAGATGCTTGAAAAAAAAATCAAAAATATTCATCTAATATACTTAAATAATTGTAGGCTTGTGGTAAACGTTATACTTTGTAACTAGTACAAAAATATTAATNGCCTCTAGCCATTTAAACGTATATTTATTTAAGTTTTGAATTTTGTGTTCGAGTCTTTTATTATGTTTATTCATGGGTTGTCTATTATAATGTTGTTTAATTTTGAGCTTTTTGTTAATTTACAATTATATTATATATCTGATTTTGAAGTAATTGCGAGAATTGATAAGAAATATTGATAATTGATTTTAAAATTGTTTAAAATGGCGCTTTACGTGCCAGCCAAAAATCTAAAATTAAACTTTTAGTTGAGCTTTATTGAAAAATTATCTTCGTCACACTATTAAAAAAATTACTTATGCCATAACAGTCTGAGCTTGCTTAGACTTCTAGTCAACTATTTAATTTTTATCAAGTTTTTTTATTTTAACACATCTATAATCTTTTGTCTTCCGTTTTGATTGCATTTAGATGAAAGCAATCGTATTATTCTATTATATTTTCCGTTGATTTTTATTAAATATTTAAGTTTTATTGTAATTTGATTTTTCCCTAGCCCTTTAATTAATTTTTATAACATCACTGTTTTGTTAATTCAGTTTCTTTTCAAGAAAAATCTAAATTCCTGTCTATAAATTGACTAATTTTCTAGTTTTAATTACACCAAAAGTTCTGCTTTTATAAAAACTAATATTCCTATTTCTATTTGATTCATCTCACGCATACACCGAGAATTATAAAATGTACACTGTCTAATGAATTTTTTACTTCAGCGACATTTTTACAGCATAATCAATAAGCAGGGTAAACTGTACAGTGTACACTGTGCAGTATAATGTACTATTCTCATTGAAATAGTTTTTAAGTTCTTGTGTACAGTTTTTTGAAAAAATTAGCAAACAAATTTATATAGATTTTGTAAATGTATTACAACATTTTGTAAATGGAAGAATGTTATCTCCTGAATCACTCGTTCCCGATTTTGTTTTTAAATATTTTCATCCTTTCCGACCAAGTTTTTTCAAGTGCACTCTTTCCAAAAAAAAATTCCCTGAATCCCGAGATCTTATATTGTACATTTTTAATTATTAGATAACAGAGCCAATTATTAAACATGAGAAAATATGTAGTTTCTTCTAACTCATATGTTTTTGACTGTAGCTTACTTTTCTTACATGTCCTTTAAAGATGAAATTATATATAAACCTACAAATTGTATATCTCTACTTAACAAACCATGTGGCAATACTTTTCGTGGCATTCCTAATTTATGAATACCCCTATTTAAACATGTGATTTTTGGTCACAAAAATGTGATAATGTCTCAAATGTGTGTTTCAGATAAAAGTGACGGTGTTGGTTCTTTTGTGACCACCCGTTACAAAAACAAAATGGCGGCTTCAGACAAGATGGCGGCTTCTGATCCCCTGGTTCTACTTGATCAGCTGATGAAGTCTGATAGTCAGGAATCCGTCAAAATGATTTGGGCTGAGAAACTGATAGCAGAATCAGTTAAACAGACATTGAGCAAAGAGTAAGCACAGCACAGTACAGTACAGTATTACAGCACAGTACAGCACAGCACAGCACAGTACAGCACATTACAACACATTACAACACATTACAACACATCAAGACAACACAGCACAGCACAGCACATTACAACACATTACAACACATCAACACAGCACAGCACAGCACAGCACAGCACAGCACAGCACATTACAACACATTACAACACATCAACACAACACAGCACATTACAGCACAGCACAGCATAGCACAGTAGTACAGCACAGCACAGCACAGCACAGCACAGCACAGCACAGCACAGCACAGCACAGCACAGCACAGCACAGCACAGCACAGTAGCACAGCACAGCACAGCACAGCACAGCACAGCACAGCACAGCACAGCACAGCACAGCACAGTACAGCACAGCACAGCACAGTACAGTACAGTACAGTACAGCACAGTACAGCACAGCACAACACACAACACAACCCATCGACATCGACACCGACACCGACACAAGACACAGCACAGCAGTGACAGTAAAACTATTTAGAAAATGTCTGGCTACGTTCAATGAGCTCTCTGTACTGGTTCTAACAAGTGACAAGGATTATATAAAGAAAGCGGCCCTTCATGCGTTTCAGGTATCTATTTTGTTTTTGTTGCATATGGGCTTGCGTCTACAATAGTGCTCAATGCCCATCCTAATGCGTTTAATTTGACACGTCTGTTATTGATCTATTTATTCGTACACAATTATGCTGGTACAGTTTAAACCAACGAAGATTGAGATATACAAAATATTAATATAGAATCAATATATTGTCGAAAACAATAAAACCATAGTTTGTACGCATATGGTCAATAATTTCAGCTATTTAATCATATTTAAATCCGTCTAAAACATTTTGATTTGACCGGATTAATAGTAGATATTTTAACAGTGGAATTCTCCACGCGTTGTTTCCCTTATTTTGTGTTCAGTATACACTTAATTTCTTTCAACTAAAAATTCAGTTATTTTTCCCAATTGGGCGGCGCTAAACATGTGGTATATTCCCCAAAAAAAGAGTGGGGGGGGGGTCATATTATTTTTAATATATGAAAAACCCCTGAAAAATGAACATGTAACAACCTAATATTTTGTTTAGAATTTGATAACTACGGAAGGAAGCATATATCTGGAGTTTCTGAATACAGCCTACATAGTCCAGCTCTTCTCTAATCCTATCTACACTAATAAGATAAACTTGGTAAATCATTCATTAGTTTTTATCTACATAGTCCAGCTCTTCTCTAACCCTATCTACACTAATAAGATAAACATGGTAAATCATTCATTAGTTTACCTTCATAGCTCAGCTCTTCTCTAATCTGACAATATATCCAGAATTTAGGACTATTCTTGATGAATCTGACAATATATCCAGAATTTAGGACTATTTCTTGATGAATCTGACAATATATTCAGAATTTAGGACTTTTCTTGATGAATCTGACAATATATTCTGAATTTAGGACTATTCTTGATGAATCTGACAATATATTCCTCTAACCCTATCTACGCTAAGAAGATAAACCTGGTAAACCATTCATTAGTTTTTAGCTACCTATTTCATTTTGCTAGTGCATTGTTCTAACTTGGGATATCTGGGACATAATAGAAAATTTAAAAAAAAAAGAATCACTTTAAAAAATCGTACACGGAAAACGTATAACCTAGAAAAAAAATTACATTCACAGAATACCAGATTTTTTCTTTTTAAGCATTCAAGTTTTAGAAAATTCAGTATTATATGGAACTTTTTATATATTTTATACATATGCCATATCCCATATTCAAATGCATTTGCCATAATGCCAAAAATGGAATATTACCGTTTTCTTAGATTCAAAGCCAGTTTTGACAAAAATGTTACGAGTAAAAAGTTGTCAATAAAACAAAAGTTTTTTTTGTACTTGCTTTGAAGATCTTGAAGATCTACTAGCTTTGTTTTAATCTTAAAGGGTTTGTTCACCTATTTAAAATAAACAAAATACTCAATTTTTTTAATTATTTCCACAACTAAGCCAATTTTAATGAATCATCGATGCCTTGAGGTAGCTATGCTGCATTATATCTTCTATATAATAAAACGAGACATTCGTAAATATGTTCTCTATAGCCGGCCAAACGGCTGGACCGAATGGGCTGAATTTTTTTTGAGGGAACCCAGGGGTATCCCGGGTATAACATAGGCTAAAAAAAAATAAAAATGTTAAATTTTTTTTAAAAAAAATTTATTCCACTGGCAGCTAGTAAGATATAAAGTTGTAATCTCTGTTTGTTTGTTTGGATGCCCGATTTGAGATTCTAAGTTTATAGGGGGAAAAGCTAAAATCTTAAATTACGACCAAGTGCGGGAAAACGCTGGAAGTAACTATGATTATTAATTAATTAATCCTGGGCACACGTTGATATTTTATTTTATTTTAGATTGGATTGGTGATGACAATGCTGAGTAACTTCAGCAAACTGAACACAGATATAGATAGGACAGAACAGATATATAGAGTTATCAGGTATTTATAGGACAGAACAGATTTATAGAGTTATCAGGTATAGATAGGACAGAACAGATATATAGAGTTATCAGGTATAGATAGGACAGAACAGATTTATAGAGTTATCAGGTATGGCAGAATTATGCATTATTTGGCTTTTCATTTTCTCGTGTTCTTTTTAATTGTTTGCTTTGTTCTGAAATCATTGTTAATGGAAATAATAATTTGCTTTAATAACTTGCGTTGCTTGCTTGCTTTGTTTATGGCTGGTTGGGGAAAATTGATTGATTGATTGATTGATTGATTGATTATTTGGTTGCCTGGTAGTTTGATTGCCTGGTTTCTTAGTTGTTTATTTGCCTAGTTGGTTGCATGTTTGGATGTTGTTTGCTTGTCTGGACATTTTATAATTTGGTTGTTTTATTGTTTGGTCGCCTGGTGGTTTTATTTCCTGTTAGTTGATTGTTTGATTGGTTGGATGCCTGGATATATGGATGGGTGGTTGTTTGATTTTGTTTTGGGCTGCCTTGCTGTTTGGTTGCCTATTTGTTTGTACGTATGCTCAATTTCTTGGTTGTTTGGTCGATTTGTTGCCTGCTAGACTATTTTCTACCTAAAAAATTTGTATATTTGTATATATATATATATGTTAGCTATAGCTGACCAAACGGCTGGACCAATCTGGCTGAAATTTTTTGAGGGAACCCATTGGTGGGTACCCTGGGGGTAACAAAGGCATTAATAAAAATTTTAATTTTCAAAATTCGATTTTTGTCCACAGGCACTTCAGCCAGTATTTGATATTTTGAAACATTTGTATACATTTGGCAGATGTAAAAAATTTAAGAAATTTTGTTGTTTTTAGAGCACAGATATCAATGTATTTACGGGCGCATGGCTCTGATATTTCAATTGCTGCAGGTAAACAAGATAGATAGATAGATAGATAGATAGATAGATAGATAGATAGATAGATAGATAGATAGATAGATAGATAGATAGATAGATAGATAGATAGATAGATAGTTGCCTGGTAGTTTGATTGCCTGGTTTCTTAGTTGTTTATTTGCCTAGTTGGTTGCATGTTTGGATGTTGTTTGCTTGTCTGGACATTTTATAATTTGGTTGTTTTATTGTTTGGTCGCCTGGTGGTTTTATTTCCTGTTAGTTGATTGTTTGATTGGTTGGATGCCTGGATATATGGATGGGTGGTTGTTTGATTTTGTTTTGGGCTGCCTTGCTGTTTGGTTGCCTATTTGTTTGTACGTATGCTCAATTTCTTGGTTGTTTGGTCGATTTGTTGCCTGCTAGACTATTTTCTACCTAAAAAATTTGTATATTTGTATATATATATATATATGTTAGCTATAGCTGACCAAACGGCTGGACCAATCTGGCTGAAATTTTTTGAGGGAACCCATTGGTGGGTACCCTGGGGGTAACAAAGGCATTAATAAAAATTTTAATTTTCAAAATTCGATTTTTGTCCACAGGCACTTCAGCCAGTATTTGATATTTTGAAACATTTGTATACATTTGGCAGATGTAAAAAATTTAAGAAATTTTGTTGTTTTTAGAGCACAGATATCAATGTATTTACGGGCGCATGGCTCTGATATTTCAATTGCTGCAGGTAAACAAGATAGATAGATAGATAGATAGATAGATAGATAGATAGATAGATAGATAGATAGATAGATAGATAGATAGATAGATAGATAGATAGATAGATAGATTAACTATGTTAACAAATAACAATTTATCAATCTTCAGTTCTAATAATATGATATCAGGAAAAGTTTTTTAATCACAAAAGAAAAAACTGTTTTCCTGGATGATAAAAATTAAATCTTGATGTGAAAAAATTAAGATAATAATTTTGTTTTCTGTCATGAAGATTAAAAACAAACTTACAGTTGCCATAGATTAAAAAATGTCCGTTACCATACTCAAATTCACTCTTTCAAAGTTTTATAAAAAGAACCCATTTTTTGTAATATTGAACATTTTAGAAAGCATAAAATATTGTTTAGAAATTTAATATTATTAATAATCAGGATGCAAAAGGAAAACTAATGTCTACCAGGATTAAATTTTTAAATTTTTTCTCGAGAAACGTTAGGATGGCCGTTCTAGGTATTAATGTCCAAGTAACAGTTAAAATAAAAATGAAATTATAAGATTCTGGAAACTGAAGTTAAAATGTCAAATAAGAGAGTGAATTTTTAAGTTATAAGCGGTTTCGTTTTGAGAGATGGGGGTTGGTCACAATTGAACAATTTAGTGATGATTTCAAGGATGTATAAGGATTGGAAGATTTAAGCTACAAATACACTCCAGAAGAAATTGTGCGCCAATACATATTTCGAAATGTATTATTTATACAAAATATTGATTAGGTATAGGATATCTGTATACAAGCTAGCCCCTGTATATACCTACAGGACTAGTATAGTAAATCTATTTATACAAAATATTGATTAGGTATAGGATATCTGTATACAAGCTGTATATACCTACAGGACAGTATAGTAAATCTATTTATACAAAATGTTGATTAGGTATAGGATATCTTTATACAAGCTACCCCCTGTATATACCTACAGGACTAGTACAGTAAATCTATTTATACAAAATGTTGATTAGGTATTGGATATTTGTATACAAGCTACCCCCCTGTATATACCTACAGGACTAGTATAGTAAATCTATTTATACAAAATGTTGATTAGGTATTGGATATCTGTATACAAGCTACCCCCTGTATATACCTACAGGACAGTATAGTAAATATATTTATACAAAATATTGATTAGGTATAGGATATCTGTATACAAGCTCCCCCCTGTATATACCTACAGGACTAGTATAGTAAATCTATTTATACAAAATATTGATTAGGTATTGGATATCTGTATATAAGCTACCCCATGTATATACCTACAGGACAGTATAGTAAACCTATATATACAAAATGTTGATTAGGTATTGGATATTTGTATACAAGCTACCCCATGTATATACCTACAGGACTAGTATAGTAAATCTATTTATACAAAATATTGATTAGGTATTGGATATCTGTATACAAGCTACCCCTTGTATATACCTACAGGACAATATAGTAAATATATTTATACAAAATATTGATTAGGTATAGGATATCTGTATACAAGCTACCCCCTGTATATACCTACAGGACTAGTACAGTAAATCTATTTATACACAATGTTGATTAGGTATTGGATATCTGTATACAAGCTCCCCCCTGTATATACCTACAGGACTAGTATAGTAAATCTATTTATACAAAATATTGATTAGGTATTGGATATCTTTATACAAGCTATCCCATGTATATACCTACAGGACAGTATAGTAAACCTATTTATACAAATTATTGATTAGGTATAGGATATCTGTATATAAGCTACCCCCTGTATATACCTACAGGACAGTATAGTAAATATATTTATACAAAATATTGATTAGGTATAGGATATCTGTATACAAGCTAGCCCCTGTATATACCTACAGGACAGTATAGTAAACCTATTTTACAAATTATTGATTAGGTATAGGATATCTTTATACAAGCTACCCCCTGTGTATACCTACTGGACTAGTATAGTAAACCTATTCATACAAAATATTGATTAGGTATAGGATATCTTTACACAAGCTACCCCCTGTATATACCTACAGGACTAGTATAGTAAACCTATTTATACAAAATGTTGATTAGGTATAGGATATCTGTATACAAGCTACCCCCTGTGTATACCTACTGGACTAGTAGATCAGTGTCGGCTGAGTGTGAGTATAGTAAACCTACTGGCTGGATACAACAACCCTACTCCAAACAAGGAAATTTCAACTGAAAACTTTATATTTTTGTTGCAATCTATAAAGTTGTAATCTCTGTTTGTGTGTTTGACCGATTTGCCTCAAATTTTTGATTGGGGAACTCGGGAGAACCACGGGAATGTTCTTAGCTTGGTTTTGAGATTCTCAGTTGAGTGGGTCTATTTTTATAGGGAAAAATAGCTAAAATAGTAATTTTCGACCAAGCGCGGGTAAAAGGAGGGAGTAACTATTAGTACCCTAGACAACGCCGGGTTCTCAAGCTAATATTTGATCAATTTTGACGAGAATTAAATCATATGGAAACAGTGGGAACCTCTAAAACTTGTTGAATACTTAAAAACTCATTGAATACTTAAGCTTCTTAAAATACCGAACACTCCTGAAGATTTTAAAAATGACTGTCGTTTATATTGTGGCCTTACTTTTAAAAGAAGGGCATTCAATCACAACTTTTATCTCATCGATGATATGTAAGATATCATCGTTTTTCTAGCTTGAAAGTTGTTGAGTTCCGAAAATTTTCTTCATTGTATTGTCTCTGAAGCAGAAATGCGCAAGTAACTTTTTAGAGTAACCACAACGAAAAATAATAAATTTTAAACGCGAAGATGATGGATATCTCATGCATTCTTAATCATACATCAACAATCCCTTTTTTATGGTTGTTTGATTTGATTTTTTTAATTTTGATCCCCGCTCGAACTGCCATTTTTTTCAAGCCTCCTTAATGCCTTTTTATCTTTTTAGTTACAAATAATCCCATATATTTTCAGTTGATTTTTTCTAGTTAATTTCATTCCGGAAGAATATAGATGTAATTTCTAAAATGATAACCGTGATTTATGAGAAATCAGCAACCGAGGTAAAAAGTATTTTTATTGTTGTTTTTATCATCAATATGATCGTCATCATCAACATTTTTATCATAACCATAACTATCATTATTATCATCATCAATATCTCATTTTTATCATTATTGTCATTATCATCAGAATTATTATGAATATCATTATTATCAGTAACTATTATCAGAATTGTTATTAATATCAATATTATATCATCATTATCATCAACATTATTATCCTCATTATCATTTTTATTAGTATTATCATTATCTCATTATCATTATCATTGTGATCATCATTATCATCATCATTATCATCATCATTACCATCATCATTACCATCATCATTACCATCATCATTACCATCATCATTACCATCATCATTACCATCATTAATATCACTGTTATCACAAGCATCATTATCATCATATTAATCATCATTTATGTTATCATTATTATAATCAATATCATTATATTAGTATTATCATTATTATTATCTTGATCATAATTAGCATAATTATCATTATTATATTATATATCTAGATGAGTGGGGGAAATGAGCAGATTTGGTTGGAGGTTCTCAAACAAACATATTCATTTGTTTCTTCTTCAGGAACCCTAGAAACTAACACATCTTTTTATAATGTAAATAACTACCAGCCAATTCAGTGGCAATCAAACCATTTATTAGAATTTTGTAGTAAAAATTGTGCGAAAATAATCTGGTTTTAACCTCCCAGATATTTAGACGTCAAAGGAAATATAATGTGTATGGTTTGATTAGGTTTATTTGTTGATTTGTGTCTTTGGTTTTGGTTTGTGTTAATCAATTAATTAATGTTCGGGTCAATTTCACCCATCAGAGCTTCCTCTCTCGACACACATTTTATACACGCTGTGGGGTTGTATTTTTAATTTGATTTGTATGTTTTTTTGGGTTTTGGATGGTTTTTTGGGTTTTTGGGTCGGGAATATTTCTTTTTGGGTGGCTATTTGGTTTTTTTTGGATGGTTATTAGTTTTTTTTTGGGGTGGATATTTGGTTTTATTTTTGGGTGGTTATTTGGTTTCTTTTTGGGTGGTTATTTAGTCACTTTTTGGGTGGTTATTTAGTCACTTTTTGGGTGGTTATTAGTTTGTTTTTTTGGCGGTTACTTGGTTTCTTTTTGGGCGGTTATTTGGTTTCTTTCTGGGGTGTTAAATGGTTTCTTTTTGGGAGGTTATTTGTTTCTTTCTGGGCGCTTACTTGATTTCTTTATGAGCGGCAATTTGGTTTCTTTTTGGTCTTTCTGGTTGGTTATTTGGTTTCTGTTTGGGTGGTTATTTGGGTTCTTTTTTGGCGGTTATTTGGTTTCTACTTGCGTGGTTATTTGATTCTGTTTGTTTTATGGTTTGGCTATGTCAGGAGAAAAGGAGGATATGGATGCATTGTGTTTTCTCATAGAATCTGTTCCTACACCTTTAATGAATACTGCCACCAAGTTAGTATCCTTTTCTTCTCCTTAGTAATTCTTCCAGAGTTAGAATATTATGAATGCAGTTTGTGTTAAACTGATTTTGTACCTAAGTGGCTCAAAAACTGTAAGGCGGCCTCAGGCCAGGAACTTGTTAAAGAATTGCTTTTCTTACTTATCTGACAAGAGTCTTACTTAGTTTTGCTACCTCTCTCTCGTTCATAAGTTTCCATCTCCTGCCCTTTCTTCTTTAAGGAAAATATGTTCTAAAATCATACAGTGGTATGCAATTACATCAATGCAATGAAGACGACTATTTTAATTAGGTTTTAATTGTTAACAAGCTTTTTTCGAATTATAAGTTGGAAAAGCTTTTTTAATTGACAGCTTTTCTTGACTTCTATGTTTATGTGTATCCATGCTGTTTATCAGCTTGATATAATAAAAATTCAAGTCGAAAGTCGTCTTCATCGTATTGATATAATTGCCTACCACTATATATCCGGAATTTAGGACTTTTCTTGATGAATCTGACAATATATCCAGAATTTAGGACTATTCTTGATAAATCTTACAATATATCCAGAATTTAGGACTATTTCTTGATGAATCTGACAATATATCCAGAAATTAGGACTATTTCTTGATGAATCTGACAATATATCCAGAATTTAGGACTATTCTTGATGAATCTGACAATATATCCAGAATTTAGGACTATTTCTTGATGAATCTGACAATATATTCTTGATGAATCTGACAATAAATTTTGAATTTAGGACTATTCTTGATGAATCTGACAATATATCTGGAGAAACTGGACTAGTACGAGCTTTGTCTCGACTAATCAACTATATGTGTATATGGCCTTCACCTAGAATATCTATCTGGGTTCAACAAATACTTAGGTATCATTCTTAATCTTCTTATAATATTTGTACAGTCAAATCCTTTAAAGAGAATGTAAGTTAAATTTCAAGTGACCTTCCATGCAATGCCCGATTCACAACGGTACCCTTAAAAGTTGTGTTTGCTCAAGAATGAATTCCTAGTATATCTCGTATATTCATGTTTATAATTTGGAAAAGATTTGCAGGAATGAAATAAATACTTTAATAAGCTAGAAAAATTATAATATCTTCCACATCATATATCAGAGGGTCACTTGAAATTGTGCTTACAGTCTCTTTACAAGGTTCGATATTGATTTGATATATGTCCTTGTTTTACATTTGAACGTTCCATTCTTAATGCAGAATTGCAATTATGTGTTTAAGCAGTTTATAAATATTATATAACAAATTATTTGAATCACCAATTGTCTTAAGATTGTCCTAACGTGAACATTGAAATATTTTTTTAAAACTTAATTTGCTTTAAACAGAGTGGGTGGGAGGGGTTGGGGTCGGGAGGACTAACAAAAGCTAAAATATTATTCTTTTAAAAAATATGCATAGTTTGGTTTTAAAAAAATAATTTAGCTCTATTATTTTTTTTTTACTTTTTAAAATGATAAGAAATTTTTTTTTCACTGAAAACGAGGTTCCCATTTTTATCTTTTATGAAGAGAAAAGAATTTATTAAATATTTTAAATTTTTTTTTAGGGATGTGAAGAAGGATTCTATCCTGTGCTCTGTAGGAGAAGAAACGATCGTTAAACTCCTTCGATCCCTTGAGACTCCGATCCATCGGGGACAGACAGGGGATATATTCTTCACATTGTTGTACGGATACCAACATTCTCCTACACTCTTTCATAAGGTTGGTTGGTTTATGTTTTACAGGGGACCCATAAAACTTAGGAATAGGTAGACGACATTTAATCAATAATAGATGTGTTATAAGATTTGAAAATCAATTCATCAAGTAAAATGGGATTGTTTAGGCTTTACAATTGCAGTGTTTAATGTTCACTGAACTATTTAAGCCATAACTGAGTCTAGTATTGCCCTTTTACATGGAGGGTCACTTGAAATTACGCGCATAGTCCAGGATGGTGTTTTCTTATGTACAATGTACAATCTTTAGCATTATTGAATTGCTTATGTGGAGCTATTGAACGTTTTGACACTGGTCCATGGTGTGCTCGGTACACTGCACAGTACAATGGATATCTCTGCTCATGTACAATATACATAATTGTACTATTTAAGGTTGTAACCCAGATCCCTGGTATACTCAATAAACTGTCTATTACAAGAGATATCTCCGCTCGGGATACAAGAGATAAACTGGTTGAAGCTACAAAGTAAGAATTATTGTTTATTTTTTAAATGATTTGATTAGATGTGATTAGATGTGATTAGATTTGATTTGATTAGATTTGATTTGATTAGATGTGATTAGATTTGATTTGATTAAATTTGATTTGATGTGATTTATTGATTTTTTCCGGTCTAAGTCGTATGTTGCAATTTTCTCAATTTGTATGGTCGCTACGTTCTTCGGTATTAGTCGTTTTTAACAATTTTCTCCTTATAGACGCAACAGATAGAAGTAGATTAGTAGCGATCAAAAGCGCTTTTTTATCGCATTAAGCCTATACCCCCTTTCATTTTTCGCGAACACTCCCTTTAAAGGGGGTGGGTGGGTTGAAGGATGTCAACCTAGAGATACAGTTTACTCAGGTATCCAGAATCCTTACACCCGGTGCACTACATCCAGGGTTCAATAATAGAACATGCCCGGGGCGATTAACAACAGACAACCCTAGGCGAGGTTGAACATATATCATTTAGGGGAAGTACTGATGGGTGTAACTTTCCTGGGGTCCAGAACAACCCCAGCAGCTTTAAATAAAGAAATGAAATAAATCTGAACTGAGACTCAGGTTTGAACACAGGGTTCAATTTTATGTTGCGGTTCCAGTCCAGTTTTGGTTGCGTTTATTTACAAACAACCAATATACAATTGTGCACCCACCGAAAACGAGTTCATTGTATATTACGGAATTTGGTGTATTTTGAGTACAAAATTTTCTTATGGCCTTACCTTGGTTTTATGGATGGGTCTGTTTTCATGTGTACTAAAAACCCGCGAACATCTTTTTTTTTTGGGGGGGGGAGAATTCGATCTATTTTATTTGCTTTATCTAATTTTGAATTACATCATTGTTAAGCAAATAATAATTTTTTTTTACTTTTGTTAACTGTTTTACTGTTTTTACTCTTTTACTTTACTTTTACTGTTTTTTTTCTATTTTAACCGTGGCACTGTCAATATTTTAACCTGCACCTATTTTGCTTCCTGAAGTTATACAAAAAAAGTAATAAGTGCACGGGTTCAAGAATAACTTAAAATCTCATTTGAAGCGATAAATTGGCGAAAAATAATCAGATTTTTTTCTGGATATATATTTGTGTTATGTTTCCTTGTTCAGAATTCTTGTCTGGAAAATCGTGGAGCTCTGGTTCCATTATTCAATACAGTTCTATCCTTACCAATACAAGCTCTTCACATTTTGTAGGTCAGTGTTTTGTATATTTTGGACATTTTCCGATAAAATTGTCAAATTCTACTTTTTACTGATCAAAATCTAGTTTATATGGATGTAAAAAAATACCCCCTCCCTTTGTTCAACTGACCGCTCGATAGTATAAAATCTGAAGCATCTAATGTAACCGTATAGTGTAAACTTAGCTGCAGAATGGGAGCATTACCATATTTTCAAAACAGGTAGATTCAGTTGAATTTGAATTGAAGTTGTTCAATTAGAATTATTGTATTCATAAAGATATATGTGTTACAATTAAACACGTCTTTTATTAAAATAATTCGACAAAGAAACATTTAGAACATAAGCTATTTTCCTGGTTTTCTAAAAGTTAAAATGATGAATAAAATCGATTTTGCGTACTTAGAACAACTCATGGTTGTTTTTTGAGGACTTCAATCTTCTCGCTGATTAAAATATTTAACATTTCAGATTCTCTTTTCTCAGACATTTATTATAATTTCTATTTTATTTAAAGGTTTGTTGAACCTGGAAAATACCTGTTATATGAACGCTGTTATTCAAGCTCTCTTCATGGCCAAGCAGTAAGTCGCAGATTTTTCTTAAAGAGACAGTCCGCGTAATTTTAAGTAACTCTTCTCAAATTAAAGGGATACTTGTCCGAATCACAACGCTTGCCGTTCAATCTATATTTGATTAACATTGAGGAAGATAAAGTTGTTTTCTTAAAAACGAAATAAATTCTGAAGATTTTTCTGCTCCGTATCTTTTGCTTAAATCAGGAAATTTGTATAGAAATCGGAATTGAGCATTGTCAATTTTCAAAGAGTAAATAATGATATTTTCAATTTAAATCATAAATGACAAGGCAAAATTTATTATTGTGACGTTTTGAGTCAGGCATGTAAATAGATTAATATAGCGGGTTACTTAACGTTTCTTCGACATTCTCTGTAAAAGAAAACATGATGATAAAGATTATTTTATCGCTGGAGTCCTCTTAGTAAATATTGCTGTAGATGGCGCTAGTGACAACTTTAAGATGCCGTCATTTTATATTCACTCTTGACACTTGAACTTGTCACTCCACAAGGGATGAACCTTTTTGCAATTATTTTGCACAATGATGACATTCTCTCCTGATGCTTGCAAAATCAGCACTTGATGGTAAAATATAGTTTTCAATCTGTCGTAGAATATTTGCGAAATTTTATTCCAATTGTCATCTACTGAAATATTGCTTTGACGGATTCGTGATTTGAAATTATGGAACATGTCGGAACTCGACATTCAAATCTGAACTTAAATCTGATTTTCTGACAGTAAATATACTCGGTTTAGGATCTTTATAATAAACATTTTTCAGGTTTCGTTTGACCTTGCTCGGCCTTAGCTCACTTTCTGGTCAACCTGCCTTACGAAGTCTTCAATCTTTACTGGCCTTCCTGACATACAGTCATAGGTTAGTAACCTTCCGAACATACAGTTATAGATTAGTCACCTTCCTAACATACAGTCATAGATTAGTAACCTTCCTAACATACAGTCATAGGTTAGTAATCTTCCTAACATATTTTCATAGGTTAGTAATCTTCCTAATATACAGTTATAGATTAGTAACCTTCCTAACGTACCGTCATAGGTTAGTAACCTTCCTAATATACAGTTATAGATTAGTAACCTTCATAACATACAGTCATAGGTTAGTAATCTTCCTATCATACAGTCATAGGTTAGTAACCTTCCTAACATACAGTTAGGTTAGTAACCTTCCTAACTTACAGTCATAGGGTAGTAATCTTCCTAACATATAGTCATATGTTAGTAACCTTCCTAACATACAGTTATATGCTGGTAACCTTCATAACATACAGTTAGTTTAGTAACCTTCCTAACTTACAGTCATAGGGTATTAATCTTCCTAACATACTGTCATAGGTTAGTAACCATCCTTACATACTGTCATAGGTTAGTAACCTGCCCAACATAAAGTTATAGGTTAGTAAACTTCCTAACATACCGTCATAGGTTAGTAACCTTCCTAACATATTGTCATAGGTTAGTAATCTTCCTAACATACAGTCATAGGTTAGTAACCTTCCTAACATACAATCATAAGTTAGTAACCTTCCTAACATACAGTCATAGGTTAGTAACCTGCCCAACATAAAGTTATAGATTAGTAACCTTCCTAACATACAGTCATAGGTTAGTAACCTTCCTAACATACTTTCATAGGTTAGTAATCTTCCTAACATACAGTCATAGCTTAGTAACCTTACTCACATACAGTCATGGGTTAGTAACCCTAACATACAGTCATGGGTTAGTAACCCTAACATACAGTCATAGGTTAGTAACCTTCCTAACATACAGTCATAGGTTAGCAACCTTCCTAGCATACAGTCATAGGTTAGTAACCCTAACATACAGTCATAGGTTAGTAACCTTCCTAACATACAGTCATAGGTTAGCAACCTTCCTAGCATACAGTCAATAGGCTAGTAACCTTCCTAACATACATCATAGGTTAGTAACCTTCCTAACATACATCATAGGTTAGTAACCTTCCTTACATACTGTCATAGGTTAGTAATCTTCCTAACATACAATTATAGTTTAGTAACCTTCCTAACATACAGTTATATAGCTTAGAAACATTCCAATTTAAGTCATTGCCCCATAAATAATTTGATATTGCGATTTTTATGCATTATTAGTGGATTTTTCAAACCCAATTTTAAAACGAAGTTGATACTATTTTTACCATGCAGTACAATTGTACATATTCAGGAATCTGTACACACCGAGAGAGTTTCAACGAACTGCTAACCCGCCCTGGTTCACGCCGGGTAGACAACATGTAAGCTGTAATATTTTCCGGGGGGGGGGGGGGATTTTGAAGTTTCAGAAAGAAAAAAAATGTTACAATATTTTAAGAAAATTTACCGAAAATGTATTTCAGGACTGTTCTGAGTTTATGTCGTATTTGATGGATATATGTCACGAGGAACAAAGAGCTTCATTCGCTCTCTCCAATAGTATGAAACAGCACTATATCAATAAAGGTTTAATAGATTTGTACTTCAATATTTCAATATCATAGGACTTTTACCGATTTTGTAATTTAGGAAAACTGAAAAATTATAGATATAGATTTGTTATGCATTGTATATTGTATTGTATATTGTATTGTATTTAATATCTATATAATATATGTTCTTAGTTAAATTGTTACATCATCCTAGATGATAGGTCTGATAAAGTCAAATTAAATCAAATTAAAACAATAAGTTAAAATATCGAACCAGTAGATTCACCAGCATTTCAAAGTTCAACTACCTCTCTAATCATGAAATATTTGCAAGTTCAACTGCCTCTCTATTCATGAAATATTTCCAAGTTCAACTACCTCTCTATTCATGAAATATTTCCAAGTTCAACTACCTCTCTATTCATGAAATATTTCCAAGTTCAACTACCTCTCTATTCATGAAATATTTCCAAGTTCAACTACCTCTCTATTCATGANCTTCCCCTCCAAGCGCAAAGATGACAATGCTAATTTCACAACGATATCCTTAAAAGCTTGTTCTGATCAAGTATGAATTAGATATTGTTACTATTTTGTAAACTATTTATTTTCAATTGTAGTTTCTATCTACATAAGTAACTTGCGCATTTCTCCTGCAGGAAAATATATAGGAATTATTATTATTATTCTAGACCTAGAAAACTACCATATTTTCCACATCATACAAAGGGTTTAAAGGATTTCAAGGATAACGTTGTAAATCGGGCATTGCCATTTTTGCAGGGAAGGTCACTTGAAATTACGTTTACAGTCCCTTTAACACAAGAAAACCTAGTTTTGCCATCCTCTTGAATATAAATATTGTCTAGAGCTTGGAAGTATAACAGAGCTACCCGAGGTTGTTTCAGAGCCTACTAGTCAAGTTGAGGTATAAACAGTGTGTTAATGTAATTAAAAATCGGTTATCTTGACCCTTTTTTACTAAATACTTCATACCACCCCTGAATTTAATCATTTTTCTTGAAAAATCATATTTTTTACCCAATCCATCGAAATAACCCCTTTAAAAAAATACACTCAGAGCTGAAAACTTTAGAATGAGATATCCTTAATCCCGATTACTTAATCTGAGTATCCAATGAACACACTTGATTTTCTTCTTGAGCGGTTCTTTCTTGGATATGGTAGAGAAAAAATCAAAAACCGGTTTTTCTAAATTAGAGAGTCCCTCCCGTTTCTGTATATAATCTTAAATGGCGCGCAAAATTTTTAATTTATCGGCTTCTTATTCGCGACTCTGATTGGTTGAATTTTACACACTTTTCAGGATACAAGCTTACAAGATTAGGTTAGTCCTTGATATTAAGAAAAAGAGAGGATCAAGCATTATTCTCGATACCCATCATTCTAAAGTTTTCTGCTCAGAGCAAACAACATCTTGGGAAAAAACCAGTTTTTAAAGGGGGGGAATTTTCAAGAAAATATGTTCCCCTGAAACTTTTTTATTTCTAGGATTGGAATATGGTGGGAGGAAGCATGTCAAGTCTCTGTGCCGAGGTAGATAGTCAAGATGATCTTAATCTTATTGGAACAAGTAGGGATGAATTAGATTTAATCGGAGATAGTCGGGATAACCTGGACAGAGTTGGAGATAGTAGGGATTATCTGGACAGAATCGGAGACAGTCGGGATAATTTAGGCAGAATTGGAGATAGTCGGGATAACCTGAACAGAATTGAGGATTCCTCTTTTGACCAAATGATGGGGAGTACAGAGAATTTAGAGACTGACAGATTCGATGAAAATATTGAGGATGTTCCCGAGGCTGCCGAGGACTGTGTTGAGGATGAAAATGAGGTTAAGGATGTGGTGGGAGAGCTTAGAGGCAGCAGAGATAATATTCTGGGTAGGTTTAAATATATTTAATGTCAGAACATCATCATCAGTATCATCGGTAATCATTATTATCATTATCATAATCATAATCATAATCATAATTATAATCATAATTATAATCATAATCATAATCATAATCATAATCATAATCATAATCATAATCATAATCATAATCATAATCATAATCATCATCATCATTATTATCATTATAATTTTTATAATTAGTTACATCATTATTATTATTTAGTGTCCAGTAGCCGTGAGAATATAAATACTAGCAGAGAGAACTTGAACACCAGCAGATCCAATCTTGATATTAGCAGAGAAAATTTAAATACTAGCAGATCCAGTTTAGCAGATGTAAGTTAATTTTTGAGCATTTATGAATCATTATACAAGTACTCATTACATTTTGTGAACATTTTGTTTAGATTTTTTTGCTTATTTTTCATCATTACCATTTTTGCTTAATGTTAAATAAGCAAATTTTATCGATGCTCAGAATTACAAAAAATTGTCTCCAAAATTTTTTGATTTTCGTAAAATTTTGAAAATCCTTGTAAAAAAATTGTAAATCCGCAAAATTTGTTATTTTTGTATAATGGAAGAGAAAATGCTGGAAGATTCAGCAACAGTTAAAGTTGAACTAGTTTAAAAAAATTTTCCTTTTTGTTATTTTGTTAGCTTTACCTTTAATGTTTCTCTTGCGTTTTTCTTTTTCTCAAAATTTTTGTAACCTGGCTAAATTTACCAGGAGGACCGACTGAGTCGAGTAGGGAGTAGAGGAAGCCTGGGATTGAGCAGGTTGGATATTCAATAACTTAAATATTTAATAACTTAGATGTTCAATAACTTTAATATTTACTAACTGAAATATTCAATAACTTGGATATTCAATAACTTAGATATTTACTAACTTAAATATTAAATAACTTAGATAATTACTAACTTAAATATTAAATAACTTAGATATTTACTAACTTAAATATTTAATAACTTAGATATTCACTAGCTTAAATAATTAATCAGATATTCCATAACTTAAATAATTAAACAAGTGGGGGGGTGGGTTATCTCCCCATCTCTTCCTTCGACGATACATTGCACAATGTACATACAGTACATTTATGAATAGAATGAATTCCCTTAAAACATTGCAATAAAAACGTTTTCCTGAATGTGACACAAAATGGAACGTTTTAACGTTTTAACGAACTATAACGAACTATAACGTGCTACCTTAGTTTTTAGTACTACAACTATAATGAGTCGTTTTCAACTTAGTTTACATATATCAATTCTATTAACTGCTCTTTGGTTAGATGGTGTACAGAGGAGAACCTTTCATCTTCCTCGGGTTCTAGGGAGGTTCTCAATGTCTCCGGGTCTAGGGAGGTTCTAAACCTATCTTTCAATGACTCTAGGTAGGTTTAATGTAGGTTCTCAATGTCTCTGGGTCTAAGATGGTTCTAAACCTATCCTTCAATGACTCCAGAGCCCGCGATTTAAAAACTTTGGCCTGAGCCGTAATTTCTTAAACCCGACTTTTAAGACCCGATCTTCAACCCAACTCTGACGACAGCTTGTGTCACGTGATTGACAGCTGCAAGATCTTAGGCTCAACTTAGGAGTTAGGCCCAATGAAAATAAAACCGACCTTGGTTGGTTTTAGTGGAGAATAAGGCTCAATGTTGAGTCTTGTTCTCATCAAAACTCGAAATGCGCCAATTCCAATCGTGAAAATCCGCCAAATAGAATATTAAACCGGTTTTTGAACTCAACTCTGTGGAAAATAAGATTCAGCTTGAATCCGAAAGCTCAAGCCGTAAATAAGGTCCAACGACAGCTTAAACCCGAGCCGTATTTTCCCAAAAAATTTTAATCGCGACTCAGGTAGACTCCAGGTAGATTTCAAGGTTCTAAACATATCCTTCAATAACTCCAGGTAGGGTAAAGGTAGGTTCTCAATGTCTCTGGGTCTAGGGAGGTTCTAAGCCAATCCTTCAATAACTTTAGGTAGGTCAAAGGTATGTCCTCAATGTCTCAGGCTCTAGGAAGGTTCTAAACCCATCCTTCAATGACCCCCTAGGTTCAAGCAAGGTTCTCAATGTCTCAGGTTCAAGGGAGGTTCTAAACCCATCCTTTAATGACTCCAGGTAGGTTTCAAGGTTCTAAACCTATCCTTCAATGACTCCAGGTAGGTTTCAAGGTTCTAAACCTATCCTTCAGTTCAAGTCATTGTTTTATCATTTCAGGAGTGCGCTTAATATACCAGACTTAGACGCCAGACAAGGAGTTAACAAGAAAAGGTAAAGAAGCTTCTAGTTTAGAGATTTGTTTCTAGTTTCTTCTTCTTAGTTTATATCTGGACAGTTCCATGTTGGATTAATACCTAAACTTTTAATTTTTCTAGCAATGCTTGCTTAGGATCCAGATCTGATGGTTCTGCAACATTTTGGCTTCCTGGATCCGCATCCGCAAAAATATACGGATCCACGAATTCGGATCCAGTCCAAGGGACCAAAATATTAACCAAAAACTGAAAACAAAAATATCCACTTCTATTTTTTTCCAGTGCGAATCCAGGATCCGGTTCTGAATCCGCATCAAAATTAAAAGGATTCTAAGCACTGGCCAGTGGGTTATTTTTGGTGGAGCTTATCCTTGATGTCTCATTAAGATGGTTGACTGGTCATTATTATTAGTATTTCCGGAATTGCACTGTCACATAAACATGGTATAAATGAATAAGCGGAGTTAACGATAGGAAAAAGTATGTATCACTGGACTTTGCAATCTGGTGCTCTTTGTTATTTGGAGAGGGGGGGGGGGGCAAATTAAAAAGAAATTGAGTAACTACGCGCTAATGAAAATGAGGGAATACATCTCAATATGGTTTTGTACGCAAAATAATGAGAAAAAGAACAAGAAAACTAACTTTTGTCAAAAATGAGAGAAGCTGCAAATCCTATCCTTCTATATTTAAAATTAATAAAAATTCTAAAAATTTAAAAATATGTTTCTAGAATTGTTGATGAGAAATCTGAAGACGGGCATTCTAATTCTACAGATAGTGGGATACAGAGCGTGGAAGAATCTAGTCATGGAAGCCAAGATAAGATAAGGTTGGTTCTTCGGCAAAAAAAAAACATTTTTACAATTTTTCGTGAAATTATTGCATATCTTTTTTCTCGCATTCCGCATCCTTATTCTTCTTTTCGCAAAATTCATTTTCCCGAAAAAGTTTGCGAAATAAGAAAGCAAATTTTCGCATTTTTTCAACCCTACTCAGAATTCTTGATATTAAGTTTCATTAGTTATAGCCTCTAGCAAAACAAGTCATTAACGCTATCTTTTAATTTTATTTGATTTAATTTGAAGATAGCTCAGAAGTAACACTCTATGTCATTTTAAGTTTAAGTCACTAATAAAAACTTATCCCCCCTGAAGTGGCAAAACAAATGAATAGGACAGGATTCAAATTGTTTTAAAAACATTCATCAGTTGATAATATTTATGTCTAGTGATCATGCCGCGGAGAGTGGGAAAGAGAAGGAGAAGACAAGACCGGAAGTTCAGACTATAATTGAAAACTTTTTCGGAGGTCGTCTTCAGATTACAGTGCGGTGTCATTCATGTAGCAAGGATTCGGTCCGGGAGGACTACTTCACTCATTTAGGTTAGAATAGAGAATAAATCTGAAAACAAATTTTGGTTCAAATGAGAGGAGAAAATGAGTATGAGGGTGGGGTATCTCATCTATATATATACTTTACTTGTCTACATCTGGGTGTCTGTTTGTCAGATTGTTTGTCTGTTTGCATCCAAATAACATCAATACGGCTGAACCGATTGGGCCCAAATTTTGTGTGTTATCTCACATGACCCCAGAAAAGGTTTATATATGCTCAGAATTTGTACAAAGAGAAGATGCGCACAGATAGAGCTACAAGACAAAATTGAAATAGAAGTTTAAGGTCCAGTGTACAATGTACATTTACAACAATTATAACACAATTACCCGGACAATTCTTGTTTTCTTTGTAATAAAAAAAACATAGAATATTAAAAAATATATATATAGAAGATACATATTAATTTTAGCCTCCTAAGTTTTAAGATTTTATTATTACAAACTAAAACTATTTAGGTCTTAGTTTTCCTGGTAAAGATGAGTCGGATGATAAGAGAAATAGCGAGAAGTCGAACCCTGAACCAGGATCAAAGAATCAACCTGAAACTGAGTTCAGTGAGAACTCAACTCATGGTGAAACTGAGATCACCCTTATCAAAGCTGGTGAAACTGAAACTAGTCTAAACTGTGATATTAAACAATCTGCTTCCGCCACAGCTCAGAAAACCTATCTCCAAAGTACAGATACAAACTCTAAACAAAGTTTAACGCTTGCTATAGAAGAGTCAACTAGTTCAACCCTAGCTAATAAAGATACCAACCTTGCAAATAACGAGTCAAACCTAGCTAATAAAGATTTAAACCTAGCAGCTAATGAAGATTTAAATCTAGCAGCTAGTGAAGAGGCAAATAACAATTTAAGCCTATCTGCAGCAAGCTCAACCGAACCTAGCACAAACCTACTTGTAACTGAACCCACTCTTAGCTCCAATCTCTCCTCCGAGTGTAGACTGGATATAAAGATATCCCCCCCTGATACCACAACACTATCCAACTCTATCCTGAGCGGAGTAAAGCCGAACCTGGCACATAAACCTGGAGTTATCAATCCGATGCAGAGTGATCTAACCTTGGATAATCTTATTCAGAAGTACTTAGGTACAATTTTTGTTTTTGTCAATATTCCGCCCTAAGTCTTATCCACTAACTCGAATTTTCTCATCTCTATATCTTTGCAACACAATGTCGGAGGTTTTAGAACTTTCAACTGTGAATTCTGTTAGATCAAACAACCATCAGGTTGCATATATATATAGGGAATAGAAAACTTGAGATTGTCGCTAAGACTCAAATTTAATAAAAATCTTTATTCACTTGCGGTCAATAGTTTTGTGGTGTAAATCATTATATCAAACAGTAATTCTTATCTTTTGCAGTTCATTAGATTATATTAGTTCATACTCTCTTGGATTCCCTGCAGAGATAATAAACCTTGAGATGATATGAACTTGTGAGCCTTATGCTGCATGTTTGATGCACTGTGCCTCTTCTGTCAGGGTCTAAATTTGACATACTTAAAGAAATGCAAATGTTTAGATCTAAAAATTTAGAAAACATTTCCTACTCCCACATTATGCCAAATTTTGAGCTTGAAAGAAAATATTATTTTTGAAAATATTGGCCAACAACGACCGAAAAACAAACCAACTGAAAGCACATCATTTTCTTGTGATTGAGTATGATTCACCACGCTGTGAAGGCAATCTGAGGGTTTCATCCTTTTAGATCTTTTATTTTTATTGTTATTCATTCATAGTGAATGTTAAGATTAACCAACGTATATTAGCGTTATTTCGTACACTAGTTTTGACCTCAGGTCAATTTTATACACTAGATTTGAAAAATAAATTATTTTTATTAATTTTCAGAACCTGAGCTACTGTCTGGGTGTAACCAGTATTATTGTGAAAACTGTGATAAGAAGACTGATGCAACCCAATCCTTTAGCATCATTTCTTCTCCCTTCTACCTCAATATCACGCTCAACAGGTAGTCATGGACACGGTTTCCATGTCTTTTTTTTTACATTCAAGGGAGTGACCGGCAATGTAAGGTAGTTGAACTTAGTATGCAGTGTTTTGTGGAAAACTTCTTTCGGATTCATTTGAGACATATAAAACTTTATAAAAATCTGTAAATCCTGAGTTTGAGCGCAAATTCGACGTTCAAAACTCCTACTTTGGGGGTGGATACGTTTTCAGTATTAGTTTCTTTTTATTTATTAAACATTGACGACGAAAAATAAAGTAAAAATTATACAGTAATCTAATGAGATGGTTAGAAACATATTTCTTAATAGAAATTTGTCAATAAATCAATGCTAGAATCAATTATTTCGTTTTCATC